TTATTTCTGAAAACAAGAAAAATTAAAACATTTTTCTGCTCATCTACATCAGGGCTTCTCAAAGTCCGACCTCGGGTCCAGATCCGGACTGCGAGGGTATTCAATCCGGATCTGACTCCATTTCGTATTGCAAGACCATTCGAAAAGAGTTCAAATACAGAATTTCCTTCATTGTTAAATGCGTAAACCTTGTAAACCAACTGTTTATTTGTTTGTATTTTAGTGAAATCAAAATGTGAACGACCTATTTCACAAAGAGGTCTATGATCTATGACAAAAGAAATCCGTCAACACACAAGCAACTACTTCTGCTATTCGGTCAAGCAGAACAACAGAGCCTCATTTGAGTTTGACGGCATGCGCTCACACACACATACACACACATTTGTTTTGCCATAGGTCTGTTCTAGAGACAATTTGCTAAAGCTTTACTGGGTGACTTCTATTTTATGTCTGTTTTAGAGACATCCCAGGTAAAAAAAAAAAAAAAAAAGTTTGCACTTTATTTAAGTATACTTAGTACACTCTTCAGTAATGTACTAAAAGTGCTGTATTTTCGCACACTAATTTTGTACTTAATGTACTAAAAGATAGTATTAAGTATATGTTAAGATAAACTTAATACCATCTAAGTGCACTTGACTGTGCTATTTTGAGATGTTTGAGGAAATGTGCTTTTAACATACTACATCTTTATTTTAAAAAATATATTGAGTTACAACGAGAAATACACTTGAACCCAACTTTTAAACATTTAAATATATTTATGACTTATTTAAAGTATAATAGTAATATATTTAAAGAATATACAAATTGTAAAAAAAAAAGTGCGCCAAATACTATATTTAAAGTATTTTGGGAAAATGTACTTCTACTACAATACATTACTAATATATTTTTAATAAAGTCAATTTAATGTAAACTTAAAATGATCACACTCAACATCAATTTAAGTGTTAGTGATAATAATGCATTCATATTAAGTGTACTTAAGTACAACTTTTGGGAAAATGTACTTCTACTACAATACATTACTAATAGATTTTTTATATATTAACTTATTTTAAACTTAGGATTAGTATGTAAACAGTGTACTAAAAATCAACTAATGTTAAAAGCATTTAAAGCACACTTTTGAAAAAAAAAATTTGGATGTTTTTTCTGTAGTGTACTTTATTGTAGTACACTAAAAATTTATTTAAGTATTACTGGTATTTAGTATACTTTTGTCAAATGTACTAAAGTCCTACTGAAGTATAAACATAATTTTAATTAGTATATTTATAGTGTAAAACCATCAAACTTTTATTTAACACAAAAAAATAACAATGTACTAAAAATGTATTTGCGGGTATTTAAGTGTATTTTAAATGCATTTAATCATATTTTTTTAGTTTGTCTTTTGAAATATGTTTCAGATTCACACTGTAAACACAGATTCAGTCTGTCTGTGACAAAATCCTGATTAAAATCGAAATCGCAATATTGTTCAAGAAAATCGTGACAGGTTTCTTTCGCCCATATCGCACAGCCCAAGTATGCAGTGAGCATGTGTAATGTCAGGTGTGTTTACCTGAGGAAGAGCGACCTGGCTGTTTTCATAGGGTGTTTCCTGGCTCATTCCTCCTCCATCCAACTCCACCTGCTGCTGCTGCAACTGCCTGAAGAGCAGAAAACAGCAGAGGAATCTCAACGTTAGCCAATGAAAAAGCTCCAAGTCCCACCACCGACAGCATCACACCACACCCTCAGCTGACCCCAGAGCAGAGCATGCTGGGTAATCCACCACCGACAGCAGACAGATGGAGCGGATGAAGGTGTCCGCTTCTCTCACCTGACCGTGACGCAGCCTGGGCTGGGGGTGGAGGGGCAGTTTGGGCTCTGGCCCAGTGAAGGGGATGACAGAGGGGACACGGAGCCCTCGCTCGACCCTCTACTGCCATGCAGACCGCAGGAGAGAGAGCAGGTTAAACTGAGCTCAATTAAGACACTCAGTCACTCACACACACACACACACACACACACATACACAGTACACATGCATAAACTGAGCTGAATTAACTCGCTCAGTCACACACAAAATAAGTCATGCTCACACACAGACACTTTTACACAGAGACTCTCTCACACACACATATGCGCACACACACAAACTCTGTAATGCACATGAGTCCGTGCACACAAACACAGACAGACAAATTCATAAACACTAATTTATTTATACACACTCACACGCACAGAAAGACACACACAAACACACTTTTACAGAGACTCTCTTACGCACACACACATTTGCGCACAGTCACACACACAAACACACACCACACACAAAGAGAAATGCGCGCGCACGCTCACACATGCTCACACACACCACACACACACACACACACACACACACACACACACACCACACACAAAGAGAAGTGCGTGCGCACGCTCACACATGCTCACACACACACACACACACACACACACACTTTTACACAAAGACTCTCTCCCTCACACACATATGCGCACACAGACACTAACACACACACAAACACAGATGCACACACACACACTTACACTTTAACACAAAGACTCTCTTTACTCACACACATATATGCACACACACACACACACACACTGACACATGACACAATTATAACGGTTCATGACAATCATGTTTATGACAGATTTATGACAAGTCTTGATGTCTTGGTAATGTCAAGTTGTCCTGATGTAGAAGACCAGTAGTGATGTATTTGTCATGTTGTCATAACAAACGATATCATCTTTGCATTTAAAATGACAAAACTGAGCAAAAAACCCTTAATTTCAGCTGTCATATGCATGCATAACACCTCATTCATGATTATAAAGATGTCTTATAAACACCCCTTTAAATAAAGTGTTACCATTCTAATCGTTCACATGACTGTAATGTGTTTGTGTGTGGTGTTAAACAACAGTGTGTGTGTGTGTGTGTACGTGTTTTTGTGACATATCAGGACACAAACCTGTATGACATATGTGTGTGTGTGTATGTGTGTGTGTGTGTGTGTGTGTGTGTGTACGTCTTTTTGTGACATATCAGGACACAAACCTGTATGACATATGTGTGTGTGTATGTGTGTTTGTGTATGTGTGTGTGTGTGTGTGTACGTCTTTTTGTGACATATCAGGACACAAACCTGTATGACATATGTGTGTGTGTGTGTGTGTGTGTGTGTGTGTGTGTGTGATTTGACTCACTTGACGTTGGTGTTGGTGCAGATGATGTACTCGATCTCCTCAGAGAAAGGGTTCTGGAAGGTGAAGGAGCTCGTCCTCATCCAGACCCACTCGCGGCTTTTAGACTGGAAGCGAAACATCACCGACATCACCTGACCTCGCAGCTTCACCACCTGCACATGGGGTCAGAGGTCACAGAGCAATAAACACCAGCCTATTGATTGTATTCTTCATGTACGAGCGGGCGCAGCCTTTAGAATCTTTTTGGCTCAGGACTTATTTCCCGTTTCCCCTGAGTGGTACGGTACGGGTCAGTACACGTTTATGGCCGTTTCCACTGTAAAAAGATACCAAAAAAGCGAAACATACCGCACCACTTTTTGAGTGCGCTTTGCAAAGGGTCCCAGCACAAGAAAAGGCTATCAAAAGCCATTTTTAAATACACAGCCGAGACATTACACCGTAATAATATATACATATAATAACAAGCCATGGTCAAACCGAGCTTAAATAAACCTTGTTGTTGTCTTGATGAACAGCAACAAATCCAAGAAAAGCAGAATCTACCCTTTGCCTTCTTGTTTACAAGGCCGTCTAAAGCGAAAGTGGTTTCACTTTCTCCAGAGAGCTTGCATGCGCTCACCGCGCATCTATATTTAAAAAATAACAAACTTCTTGAGCTGATAATAATAACGTGCGCATGGTTATTGAAGTGCTTCTGACATCGGATCCTTTCAGAAACCAAAAAACAGGAGCAAATGATTCTTTCTGCAGCCTAAAAGATGAGCAAACTGCCTTGTTAAACTATTGTCATCACCTTTTGGACTATTATGAACCCGCAATTATGGAGTTACTTTCTAACAAGGGGCTACATGTGCTGCTGAAGATGACACACACAGATTAGACTGTGGCCTATATGTTGTGTGTTGTTTTTGAACCCAAATAAGGACTAAATGTCTGTTGTGTGTAGTTTTTCTGTGATTGGTAACACATCAGAGACTGTAAGGGGCTGTATGTGTTCATATATGTTGCATTGATTTATTTCATATAATTGCAGACGTTACAGGCTATTTCGCAGATCATTGATCTGCAGTTATAATCAACTCATGTTCATAGAAAGGTTATGAACATTTATACACAAGCATATATGTGTATAAAGCATCTGTTTTGTGAGAAGTGCTTCTCGTATGAAACGTGAACGCCCTGTACAGCTTTACTGTGACGTTTCCTCGAGTGAGAATGACGTCGACTGAAACTCTTTATGCGTTTTTTATTTTATTTGAAATACTCATATGCTTTACATGTTTGTTTCTATGTCTGTTTATATAATTAATATTTTCATTTACAGCACTTCATTTTTACATCTTGTGTTTAAAAACACTATGAACAGCAGCTACGCTAATTATTTTCTTTATTCTCTATTTCCACCTGGGGATACACATCCCGAGGCCTCTATAGATTATGCAGCGCCATTGATGCGATCTAAGACCTGTGAAGAATTGATGCCAAGGCATCCATAATCCTGGACCAGGCCGTATCCTGAGCAGATGCTGTGGCAGTCATAGAGGAGTGGACAGCATGAGACTGGCTCCTGAAAGACCCCTGTGCCAGACGAGTCTCTATTGATTCTGTAGGCCAGCTAAACACCCACCGGTGACCTACTCACACCTGCAGTTCTCCATGATGGACGTCCAGCGTTCTCCAGCCTCCAGCGCCTAGAGTGTAGCTCTGCGCATGAAGTTTGGCCAGAGAAGGTCATGCCCAACTGAGCCTGGTTTCTCTTAAGGTTTTTTTTTTCACTTTGGTCAATTGGTGAAGCTTGTTCCTCGCCACTGGCTTGCTTGGTCTGGGTCTTGTTGAGTTAACACCGATGGATTTGCTCCTCAGTGTTTAGACTTTCAGCAGTGAAAATAAACCACACTGAACTGATCTTCAACTCTGAACACTGGACTGACGCAGTTTCAATTGAACTTCTATGTTAGGCTGCTTTGACACAATCTACATTGTAAAAGCGCTAGAAAAATAAAGATGAATTGAATTGTTGTTCTGCTGCAACGTCATGGAAAAGAATTTCTAAATTAGAAATTTCCCACATCGCTGGCACAGATGGCCAGGACAAAAACTCATTTTCAATATTTCATCTATATTTCTATAGCGCCTTTGCAATGAAGAGTGTCAAAGGAGCTTAATATAGCAGTTCTAATAAACTGAAACTGTATCAGTCCAGTGTTCAGAGTTCAGTTCAGAGTAGTTTAATATGAGAAAGATGGCTTTTATCACGCTTTGGCACATACAGTACTAGGACACGGTGTAAGACTACACAGTGAAAAGACTAGTTCACGTGTAAACATAACAAAATAAATAGCTAAGAAATGGCTAGATGGAGATAGTGATTGTATTTGGATAGACAGACCTGCTGAAGGCTGTCTCGCAGTAAACCCTGGTCTTCTGGGTGTGCGAAATCCAGTATATTCTTCCCCAGCAGCTCCTGCATCACACAAGAAGAACAGTCACATGCGTTTGATAATGTAAACTCAATGATTAACTACACATAAACACTTAAAATTCAAACAAACTTATTACAGGTTTTGTGCATGTATAAAAAAAACACAGACACGTACAAAATACATCAAGTTAAAAATAATAACTTTTTTATTTTTATTTAAGGCTTACGATCCAAATTCAATTCCTCCTAGGGATGTAACGATTCACGATACTAATCTCACGATTCACAATTTAGTCACGATTTAAAATAAAAATATTTTAAAAGAATTTAAGGTGAAGAGCCCTTTCATTTCTTTCTTAAATGCTGCACATTTTTTGCAAAATAACACATCTGCCATACCTAAATTGCTATTTTAAAAACAAATAAATAAAAATTAATAAATGAATAATACAAATAAATAAAAATAAATGAATAAATAATACAAACTAAAGACTCATTAATATTATCAAAGTAAAACTGTGACTGTGCAGGGATTTAAATCGGGGAAAATCAAATAAAAATTTATTTTCCCTTGGTTTTGAGTGTGGGCCTGAAAAATCTTTATTCGAAGGGGTATTCACTCCCTCCCCTTAGCCCTACGCCTTCAAGCTAAAGAGAATTGGAACACCCCTACCCCTTGGTGTGGGAAAGGGAAAGGGCTAAGAGGTAGAATTGGGATTGGGCCTAAGCCTGAATGCTTTTTTCGTGACCCACCTGAGTCTGGAAGCCCACCGTGGCCGTACAGCGGTGATCCACAAACGTGTAGACACCCTGAGAATTGTGGCGGGAGATGAACTCCACTGGAACGCTGATGTTGTTTATGCTTGTGTCGCTCGGGCAACAGGTGACCTGCAGGTCAAACAAAGGTCACAAGGTCAGAGAGAACGATGAAGGGTCAGTTCACCCACAAATATTGAACCACCACTAATATTGAACTCTGCCCCTCACTGACTCCTCTGCCCACCCCTTACAACTTACACTGCCCATAACCATTGCACTATTTCATACTGCACACTTGACATTGCATTTAATCATTGCACTACACTGTACATACCCATTTGTAAATGCACATATCCACTGAACATATACATTTGTATGATATACATATCAATTTGTAATTCCTGTTACAGCAAAACCTATACAGTGAAAACAAATATTCAAAGATGATTCCTTGGATTTACCAAATTGTTTTAATTTAAGTGGTTGTAAACTATTTATTTGGTCTGAATCTAAACAAAGAAATTAAGTTGAACAGTACCAAATTTAATTTGTTTGTTTAATTTCAACCCGTATAAATTGTTTGCAACAATTTTGCAGGAATAATTTTTTTTTGTGCATCTTATGCTGATATGTATTTGCATATCCCTGATTATTAATAGCAGCCTTTACAATATGTTCATCTATTTGTAAATATCTGATTCTAGTTAATATGACTTGTATATTATGTTCACAGTACATCCATCTGTAAACATTTCCAATAGTTTTCTATAATTGCACTTTTTACTTATACCTGTAGCTATATCCTGCACTTGCTGCTATATGTGGAAGTATGCTAAAGGACTTTTAATTTGTCAGTAACCTAAGTTAAACGCTTCCGGTGAACTGTATGCCATTACAAAATCAGTGCGTTTAAGGTCTGTTTTCTTTAAAAAAAACAGAGAACTACTCTGGCTTAGTGATATCCAATATAAAGTGGGTCTCAGATTGTACAAGAAGCACTGCATTAAATTACATTTTCCCCCGCCATGTCTTCAAAATATAGACATTTATTTTACCCTAGTATATTCAATGGAGCATCTGTGCTAGCCTGTCGATTCTGCAAGTAAATGGCTTTTTGTCTCGTTTAACGCTTGAGCAACTAAATGAATGCCAAAATCTATTTAACTGCTTGTATTTTAATTACATTACAACATCGACGCTGTAAAAGGAACCGCATAAAATGGTTAAAAGTCACATTAACCGTTCACCAGAACTTTCAGTATGGGAAGAAACACTAGCTCCGCATATACCATAATGCACTCCTGGCTAGACTTAAACTGCATTTCCTGCCTTTAACATGTGTAATGAGAATCTAATCTAAAATAAATTCTTCAAAATTAAGATAATTTTCAATGAAACTTGAGCGATTTTCTCCATCCATTAAAAGAAATTCATAAAGACTTTGTAAAATGTAAGATTTGTTTATTTTTAAGATCACTTTCAATGTACCTGTTCTCCAATGCCTCATAATGCTTTGCATAAATTAACATAAAATAACTTCAGTTAAACTGTAAACAATCAGTGAAGCGTTTTAAAGGTCACATGAACTGCTTTGAAATATGCATTTTTATTTGATGTTTGACGTAATCTCAACCAAAACACAAAGAGAGGGTGGGAACGTGTACCCCCTGCCCTTTCTTAAAAACAGCCAATAGCATTTTGTTTTTATCCCATCTCAGCCAATAAGGTTGGTTGAGCTCAAGCGCATGAAATGAAAAGCAAATGAGAAGCTTATTGAAGGGGGCTGGGCATGTCAGGTATTTGATTGGTGCATATGATTGGTGTGATTTGATAAGAAACTGTAGTTTTTTTAAAAAGATTTATTTTTGGCCTTTTTGCCTTTTTTTTAGATAGGACAGTAATCAGACAGAAAATGAAGTAGGAGAGAGTAAGAAGGGGCAAGGTCGGGAAATGTCCTCGAGCCGGGATTCGAACTCGGGATGCCCTAGGTGGAAGTGACAAACTACAAGCTTTACATGTTTAGATCAGTTTTATATCTTCCAAGCGCAAGTTTTGACACTGTTCTGGAGCACACTAGCCTGTGGATATCTTAAAATCTAACAATACTTGTACTAACATCTAAAAACTTTATTTTAATTTCATGGGACCTTTAAAAAACTGAATACAGTGAGTTTTAAACTGAGGAGAATATCAACTCATTGTTGATTGTGTGTGTAGGGGTCGGACAACCACATACATGCCCAACACTGGTTATAAATAACATATTATTAAAAAGTTTAAACAAAGTTGACAATTAATTTTTCACAACAAAGCCATAAGAGAAAGATAATGAAGCAAAACCATGACTCAGTGCAGATTTGTTTTAAAGATGAATACATGAACAAAAAAGCAGTACCTGTAGCCTTCCGATGGCAACTAGACAGAAACGATTTCCCTGATTATTATCAGCCTCCTCCTCAGACAGGTTCATTCCTGAGAGGATAAAGCCAGATATTATTCCCAGCTCCACTCTGTGTAAACAATAGCCACTTCCGGTGTATTGTGTGCGTGTATACTGTACCTGCAGGAGGCCAAGATCTGATGTAGCCTGTGCAGTGGACAACCACATACTGCTGCTCGCCGTCTTTAGCAGAACCCAATCCGTTCCTGCAGAACAACAGGAGATGAGAGAAGGGTTAGTTCACGCACAAATTATAATTATTCCATGATTTACTCAGCTTTAGGACATCTTAGGTATAGCTGACTTTCTTCTTTCAGTCAAAGCTACTTAAATATATTTGAAGAGTTCACACTTAGCTGATGATTGATTATAAAGCTTGTTTGGCATGCTGTCCCAGAAGAGAGCCCTGAGCTCATAAGATCCTCGAGCCCAAGGCTCCTTCCCGTTTGTAAGGCGAGAGGGGAGTTTGAGCTCAGGTAGATCTCAGAAGTCCCCTGCTGTAGTAACTAATAAACATTTCGTGATTGCTCTTTAGAGATAACTACTTACTAGGAGCATGTCTATGGTGCCGATTTGGATTAGTCAATTAATTTAAGTTGCATGTTTTGGACGGTGAGAGGAAACCAGGGAACCCGGGGGGAACCACATGAGCATGGGGAGGACGTGTAAACTCTGCACAGAAACGTCAGCTGGCTTGGTAAAGACTAGAACCAGTGACGTTCTTGCTGTGAGGCAACAGTGCTAACCACTAGGCCACCTTGCCACCCATCTAGGAAAGGAGGAGGAGTAGGGGTGGAAGGGGGGATTCTTTAAATTGATGATGGCTGTTATATGGGACTGAGGATATTTATAGTACCTTAGGAATCGTCCGATATGATGAATCATAAATTGAATAATGCAGGACAACTGCAAGCAATCATAAGCAGCGATCCTCTTGACATTAGTTTATAAATAAACTTCACATCATTTTAGCCTCATTTAGCTCCACAATTACTTTTTTTCTCCAAACAGTTCAATACAAGTCCACGAAAGTGTACCCATTCATAATAAAGAAACGTTTCAAATGTGAATAAAGGTCTTCTGTGGTGATCTTGTTAGTTTTTTGTAAGACATACGACCACATAAACCTTTATAAACAGTTCTGTGCAATTTGTTAAAAGCACTGATTTGCTAAAGGAGACTTTTATTGATCATTGGAGCTGTGTGAGGCACTTTTTGTTATGAATGGATGAGCTTAATTATTTTGGACGGCTGATAAAAGCTTTCCAATGTAGAGCTGGAAACTTCTTTTTAAATAACTCTGACTGAAAGTAGAAAGTGATATTCACCTAGGATGCCTTGAGGTGGGTAAATGATGGGTTTTCTTTCACTTTTAGGTGAACTAACGCTTTATATCTATTTATGAACTGAGATTGTCTCACATACAGACAAAGAGAGACGCTTTACCTGTTTCTGGTCCTCAGGAAGTTCAGTCTGTTAAGAGACACAGGCTCTACTGGACACACTCCACACCTACAACACACACACATCATTTCACTTGAATAAGTAGATATTGTGAATAAATCTGTAAAATTATAAAAGCCCTGCAAGAGGGCAAATAATTTTGTCTTGAACTGTATATAAGAATTCAACACTTTTTTACATGACCTTTAAAATAAAGGGTTATTAAGGCCTGACATGTATAACATTATAAAAATGTTTTATCGGTTTAAAGACCCCAGTATACTGAAAATAAGTTATTTTTCGTAATTCGTTTGAGTTCAAAAAGAAGTTTGAAAAGTGCCAACATACTGTTTTCAAAAACTCTCAACACCCCCTCGCTGCAGTAGGCAGGGTTGTAAACGTTTCTGCTTATGTGTATCCCTAAACACAAACGGCCAATTCACATGCTTGACGGAGGGCATGTCTGAAGCTTGGTTCTGACACAATCATCATAGCAGCATCAGCCAATAAAATTAGGGCTCTATTTTGACGGTACATGAGCAGAGCGCAAAACGCAGGGCGCAAATGCTTTCAGGGCGTGTCAGAACGCGTTTTTGCTAATTTACGGATGGGAAAACCTGCCTTGCGTCGTGGTGCATGGGCTAAAAGGCTTGAGTTTATTTTCTTAATGAGTTATAGGTGTGTTTTGAGAATAAACCAATTAGAGTCTCATCTCCCATTCCCTTTAAGAGCCAGCTGCGTCGCGCCAAGAGCGCATTCGCTATTTACAGGACGCAAAGTAAGTCTAAGTGGAAAAAATGAGCATTTCACTAGCAAACAGTTAACAGTTTTTTAACAGAAAACTGTTAAACAGAGCATCTACTGCGTGAGAATGAGAGATAACGGATCTACTTTCACATTCGCTCTTGGATAGGGAAACCTTTACACACAGACATCAATTAATAAATAAATAATTTTGTTTGTTAAGTGCAAATATTCGTTTCAAAACTATTTCTAAATTCAGTTCTAATTTCCAGCAAACGAATAAATGAACAACAATAACAAAATGTGCTCAAAAACCTGAGTTATATCCTAAAACACATGCTGTGCCCCATATGGTCTAAAACCTGACAGGTGGGCAAATCTAAGCTTGTTTTTAATAAAACAAATATAAATATGGATATAATAAATAATACTGCTAATAATAATAACATTATACAAAAGCAAATTGTTATGAATGAACTGAAAAAGCCTCCCGAGATGAAGAAGACAAAAAAGCAGTGATTTTTCATATTTATGTAGGCTAGAAAATAATATGTTTTGTAATATTTTAATCCTTTATATTTATATCCTATATCTATTCTTATTATATCCTATATATATCCTTAATATTTAAATTTTTTCATATGAAAAGATATTTGCCTTTTGCTCTCTTGTGTGTATTAAGCAGTGTGTAAGCGAGGCGCAACTCTGCGCTGGAGTTTAGACCGGGTTTGTTTTGGTCTAATGAAAAATCTATTATAGTTTCTCAAAATAGCAACGCGCCAGCGGTCCGCCTCAGAACGCCTCCCTTTTTAGACCAGAACGCCTATGGGCGCACAAATGAGCGCTAATGCATTTGCTATTTAAACAGCGTAGCGCAACGCCTCAAAACGACTCTTGCGCCAAGCTGAAACTACCAAAAGACTATTGCGCCGCGCCTTGCGCCACACTGCGCCGGGTGTATGATAGGGCCCCTAGTCTGCAATTGGCTACTGTCTCAGCTAAGGTATTTACATAAAGCGATCTGATTGGCTGACAATTCTCTTTGCGCTTAAAAAGTTGAGAAATTCCCGAAGCAGTGCAGACGGATCCACAGTTCAGTTCGGCAGCACTTGGCGTCACCCATTCAAAGTGAATGGGAAGTGTTGACGCTGATGCCTGGCGTGAAGCAATCTAACCATATTGGCTGAGAGAGCAAGACGGTTTTGCAAACATCGGGAAAACTGTAAACTTCTCCAGGTTGTCACACACTGGAAGAGAAGAGCCACATCTTTACATTGTTTTCTATTTGCCACAGACACCGATCATAAAGGCAAATTTAAGACTTTTTAAGACCTTTATTAATGAAATTTCAGACTTGTATATGGGGCGTATATGGGTGTATATATGGGGAGATTTTTTTCTAATGTAAAAGGAAAAGATTTTCACTTTCCTCATCAAAAAAAATATATAATATAGTTATTTCTTAGCCACATATAATAAGTGTGTAAAAATAAGCAAACTGGTTTCATAGATGCGCTTTTTTTTAACACAACATAAAGCTAAATATATGCACTACTGTCTCTCCAGGTCAGTGTCCTCACCATAAATAAATGGAGAATGAAGAAACAAATGTTATTGTAAGGAAGGTAATTAAACTATGTTAAATAGAGGTAAATAAAATTAATAGTGAAACTGTAAATGTAAGACTTTTTAAGGCCTGAAATTTATTTCTAGCCCTTAACACCATGAAATAGGAGCAGCTTGTTTGTGTGTGCACATCTAAATATGACCATGCATTCAGTCTGTAGTGAAAAACAGCAAAAAGCGAACATTAAAAAAAAGTTAGATCCTGTAAAAACCTTTAGTTAACATTGCAATGAGATGATCTATAGGAGTAAAGCAGTGTGCTTTGTGTCTCACCTCATTCTGCAGATGAAGGAGCGCCTGGCACCCATACTCATCCTCACAGTCGCCTGACCACCCTCCTTCTTCACCGTGCCCGTTTTCATATCCAACATCCGGCCTAGAGTCAGAAAAGGGGAGCAGGATTCAAAGGTTTTGTTTATGTAAAAAGGGTTAACAGAAGAAAGTCATGCATAGCTGAAGTCAAAATTAGTAGCCCACCTGTACATTTATTTCTTTTCCAATATTTTTCAAATGATGTTTAACAGAGCAAGAAATGTTTCACAGTATGTCTGATAATATTTTTTCTTTTGGAGAAAGTCTTATTTGTTTTATTTTGGCTAGAATAAAAGCAATTTATAATTAAAAAAACATTTTAAGGTCAATACTATTGGCCCCCTTGAGATATATTTGTTTTTGATAGTCTACAGAACAAACCACTGTTATACAATGACTTGCCTAATTACCCTAAATTGCCAAGTTAACCCTTAAAATGTCACTTAAAGCTGATAACATTAATACTAGTATCTTGAGAAATATTATGTACTGTCATCAAGGCAAAGATAAAAGAAATCAGTTGTTCAATTAAATAAAATGAATGATTTGAACTAGGGATTTTCAGCAGAAAGTATGGCAGTGGTTTCTCACCGCTGTTGTTATTGTTCTCGGTGGTGGAAAGCTGCTCTCTGAGCTTCTCCACATCGTCTGGATGAAGCTGATCATATAGTGAAGATCCCAGCCAGTCTGACTGAGCCTGGTTTAAAACCGGCGTTACAGAATCCGACACGTAAACAACGCGACCAGTCTCGCACGACACGACAAAGAGAAAACCATCAGCCGCCTCCAGAATCAGATGCTTCAGCTCCTACACAGAGACAGAGACAGTGAAAACATTTACAGAACCATCATCATCATCAAAATCATTCAGTACAGGGTTCTGTACTGGGTCCATTCCTGTTTATCATATATCTACTGCCTCTTGGTCACATTTTCAGAAAATACAACATACAATTTCACTGTTATGCTGACGACAGTCAACTCTACCTGTCCATCAAGCCATCCTGTTCTTTTCCTCCTTCTGCTTTGTGCAGATGTTTAGCTGAAATAAAAATCTGGCTTTCAGCTAACATTATAAAATTAAATAGTGACAAAACTAAAGCCCTTCTCATCGGCACTGAAAGTGTTTTGGATAAAGCTGATAATTTCACTATAGATATTGATAACAGCACCATTTTTCCCTCTGTGCAGGTAAAGAGTTTGGGTGTCATCTTGGATAGCACACTCTCATTTGAAGGTCACATTAATAATATCACACGTACTGCATATTTCCACCTGCGTAAAATCACTCATCTCCGCTCTTCTCTCACAACCAATAACACAGCAATTCTTATCCACGCATTAGTTACTTCACGTCTTGACTACTGTAATGCACTTCTTTCTGGACTTCCTTCCTAACTTCTCCTTAAACTCCAACTGGTTCAGAACCATGCAGCTCGTGTCATCTCTAGGCCTCCATCTCACAAGCATGTCACACCACTCCACAATCAACTTCACTGGCTTCCAGTAAAGTATCGCATTGACTTTAAAATATTACGTCTATCTTTCAAGGCACTTCATAATCTTGCTCCTCAATATCTTACCAAACCTCTCCATATCTACACCCCTTCTCGTACCCTTAGATCAGCCAACAACTCCACCCTGGCACCACCTCGCACTCGATTGAGCACAATGGGAGACAGATCCTTTAGCTCTATGGCTCCTCGGATATGGAACTCGCTTCCCCAAGATCTAAGAAGCAGTGATAGTCTTCACACTTTTAAATCCTATCTAAAGACCCATCTTTTTAAGCAGGCTTTTCTTTAACAATTTTATATCATGTTTTTTTATAATGTTCTTTTATATTCGCTATTGTGTTTTAACCTGTTTGGTCAATGATTGTTTTAGTAATGTTTAATTTGTTTTAGAATGGCTGTTGATGCGACCTTGGGTGTCTTGAAAGGCGCCATTTACAAATAAAATGAATTATTATTGATTAATTAATTAATTATTAATGTTTGACATAATTTTTAAAATCTGGTAGGGAGTCAGTGGTAATCTGCAGATTTCTCTGTGGGCCCAATTATAACTAATGCTCGCCATCTGATTTGGTCTGTGAGAAAGGACGCTTTATAGGTGCCATCAGTGCTAATGTTTCCAGTTCCTCTGAGAAACTTCATGTGTGATACGGCCATGTGCAGGATGGTGAGTTTGTCTTGTTTTCGTGTTTATTAGATAATTTAATTAAAACATTTTGAATTTAAAAACTGGTAGTGAGTTGAATTCTTGAAAAAACCTTAAAGGTGCACTAAGCAATATTTAAAAGATGCTTTTGACCACAACGAAGCACCCAAAACCCTCTCAGCCAATCAGCAGTAGGTGTGACTAGTAACTATAGTGACAGAGCACAGTAAAAATCACAAGTTTTACCTCTTCTCAGCAGGGAAAACCATTAACAATCAAGAATACAAAATAACATGGTGTCATGGCTTATCAATTAAAAAATGTGATTATAATAATGGAAGTCAATGGGGCAAAAACAGCCCCCAACATAACGAAAGGGAAGTCAATTTATCTACAGTGCATTGTTGATTTTTTAAAAGCATTTTCCCAAAATATGTGTCAAAATAAGATTTGTCATTAACAATCATTCCATTTGCTGAAACAGAAAGCTGTGGCCAAATTAAGCCTCAAAATCACTCCAAAGTGCATGAAAACATGCCAAACAGCACACAAGGGTTAAGTAAATAAACAGACTCAATGAATCGATGGGAATCTGCAGATTTCTCTGTGGGCCATATTATAACTAATGCTTGATACCTGACCTGGTCTGTGAGAAAGGACAGTTTATAGGTGCCATCAGTGCTGGTGTTTCCAGTTCCTCTGACAAACTTCATGTGTGATACGGCCATGCGCAGGATGGTGAGTTTGTCTGGTTTTAGTGTTTTTTGGATAATTTAAAAATATATATTTTGAATTTAAAAACTGGTAGTGAGTTGAGTTCTTGAAAAAAACTTAAAGGTGCACTAAGCAATATTTAAAAGATGCTTTTGACCACAACGAAGCACCCAAAACCCTCTCAGCCAATCAGCAGTAAAAGGTGTGTCTAGTATTTATAGAGACAGAGCACAGTATAAAAAAAAAAATAAAAAAAATATGAAAACAAATTCACAAATTTTACCTCTTCTCAACAGGGAAAACCATTAACAATCAAAAACACATAATAACATGGTGTCATGGCTTATCAATTAAAAAATGTGATTATAATGGAAGTCAATCGGGCAAAAACAGCCCCCAACATAACGAAAGAGAAGTCAATTTGCCTACAGTGCATTGTTGATTTTTTGAAAGCATTTTTCCAAAATATGCGTCAAAATAAGATTTGTCATCAACAATCATTCCATTTCCTGAACCACAGAGGAAGCTGTGGCCAAACTAAACCTCAAAATCACTCTAGAGTGGACGAAAACATCCCTAATAGCACACAAGGGTTAAGTAAATAAATAGACTCAATGATGAAGGGCTAACTAATGCTTGATATCAGACCTGGTCTGTGAGAAAGGATGGTTTATAGGTGCCATCGGTGCTGGTGTTTCCAGTTCCTCTTAGAGACTTCATGTGTGATACGGCCATGCGCAGGATAGTGAGTTTGTCTGGTTTTCGTGCCAGAGCGCTGCAGGCGGGCACCATATCCGACAGCTCTGTGATGTAGGCGGTCATTTTATTCCTCCGCCGGCGCTCGATCTCGCTGTGGTTCTCCCTGCGGTCAGGAGCATGAGGGATGAGCGGCGCGTGAAATTCAGGAGAGAAGAGAGAGAGAGAAAAAAAGCACAGGAGGAGGCGACAACGAAAAAAAATCAAGGGAGGAGAGAGAGAGAGAGAGATTGATGAATAAGCAAATAAAGACACCGTCCGATGATCTGTCTATGAAAAAACAAATGTGTATGAACGATCTTATGAGCGCTGAAAGAAAATAAGCCTGAGAAAAGAAGGACAGAAAAACACCTGTAGGAAAAATGTGACACTGAAAGACATTTTCTGCAAACTGCACTGACCACTGTGTTTAAAAATTATTATTTACAGGGCTCTTTAATGTTTTCCAAAGTGAAATTAAAGCACTTAACAAGCATTTTCAAGATGCATTTTTTAGTTCTCAAAGACTTGGGTAGTACATACTCTGAATGCCTTCTTCAGAATTCAAACGAGCCATTTTAATCTAGATATAGACTTTAAAAAAATTATCTATGCCCACCTATTATATATATATATATATATATATATATATATATATTATATTATATATTTGTCTGGCAATATTTTTCCTCTAAAGAAAGTCTTATTTGTGTTATTTCGACCAGAATAAAAGTTTTAAATTTTTTAAACATTATTTTAAGGTCAAAATTATTAGCCTCTTTCAGCTACATTTCTATACTATGTAGCTTAGCTATATTTAAAACGCTTCCGGTTTGTGGACGTTAGATCAGGTTTATTTTGTACATTACATAACGGACATCTATACAGCAGTGGATATTAATTTGTATCCTGTCACATTTGCCATGCAAAACAGTGCAAAGTCAAACGCTGCGCTGTGTGTGTGTGTGTGTGTGTGTGTGTGTGTGTGTGTGTGTGTGTGTGTGTGTGTGTGTGTGTATGCGTAAACTTTGTACCGTCAATGTGTGCGACTAATTGTGCAACTCCACTAAACAAACATCAAATACTCATTGAGAATGTTCATACTGTAGTATTTGTCACAAAAGTAACTAGACATCTGCTTCCTTCATGTCTGTCACTGTGCTGATTATCTGACGCAGCCGAGGTGGAGATTGAGGCACACCGTGACAGGTACGTGCGAACGGTAAGCGGGAATAACTAGCATTAAAGGCACAGATAACATAAACAGCTGCATGGTGTCCAGAGCAGAAAATCCCAATATTCTTAAAGCTATAATAAATAATCTGATGGGTGATTTGAGCTGAAACTTTACAGACACATTCTGGAGACACCAAAGACTTATTTTCAACTTCGAAAAAGAAGTAAAATAGGTGCCCTTTAAAGGTTCAGGACACCCCGGAGAACTTTTTCTTTTATATTAACAGATGTGTGTGTGTTGAGCTTCAGTTAAGACAATGTTAGCACCTGTCAGCTTTAATTGTGGGGAAAACTGGATAATTTTGAGCTTTTGTCAGCTAATTTCAGCTTCCGGGTTTAAAATGATTTTTGGGGCGGGATCAAAATCGGCGACGTAGCGCAGTACTGCAAGTGCAATGATGACGCGTCGGTTTCTCATTATTATTCATAGCGGAGTTTTCTTATCCTATGAGAAGAGCCGTCTGCTTAATTATTCATGAGACCTGCCAGACCTGCCAGTGTCAAGCCCGAGCTGAGAGACACGGAAACCACGGCACAGTCATGAATGCTCGTATGTGTTTGTTTCCATGATCCACGGGGTTTGTTGCATGTTTTCCCCCGCGATCTTGTCAGGACCGATCATACAGCAAAGCTGTGTGTGTGCTGCTAGCATTTTTGTCGGGAGAGCAGCACGAGAATTAGAGAATGGCGGACGCTGTGTTTTATCAGGAGTTCGTTCACATTCAGACACATCACTGTGCTGCTGTGTTTGCCTAAATCCTCCAGATTACCAGCAGGGTTAATGGTTAAAATAGACGGGTCAGGAGACCTGCTGCACTGAGTCTGCTGGATACGGGGATTGAGGGAGAAGTCCTCATTTATAGTGTTTACATGAACACACATCTTTATAATGATAGAAATTGTGGTTGTCTGTATATGAAATTACGAATAACAAATGTAGCAGGGCATTAAATCACTGTTCATTTCTTTGCGTTTTAACTTTGTAAACTATAAACTCATGCGTCTCCTCTTTGTGTCTCATTTTGTGAGCTAACTGACAACAACAGTTGTTCGCTCCCCTTCTCCCCTGCTGGCCACGCCCACTCCTGCCCGATGCTCGCGGAGCTCCACGCCCATTAATCATGCATCTTTTGAAAAAATTCTGAAGTAGACTTTAACCGAAAGTGGGGGGTGTCATGGCCCTTTAAATAAAAAAAATATATGAAATAAAAACTCCAGTGGGTGGCGCCAAGACGATCTTTGTCACTGAATCATTCTTTAAGAATTCTTCTAAATGGCTCATTCAGTCATGACTTTGGTAAGTGATACTATGAACAACTCGCTGGAATAGGTTACAAATTATTATATTACTATTAGTTATTAAAGTGAAACTCTATTTATTAGACTAGTTCGGAAGGGAGATCCAAAGCGTCTCAGCAGTGACTTTGTTGGGATTTATTTTCATGAGAAGCTGCACTGACAGCATTTACCCTTTTAAAAGGGTTTCCAAAGCATCACCATAGGATAGTCAAAGCTTAAATATTAGCAGATGATATTTCTGATTTTTTCATTTCAATAAACTGAAAGAATACAGGCAATGAAAGCCAAAGCTTGCTGTTTTCTGTCAGTCAGTACCTGGCAAATCTCTCCTTGTCATTTGATCCGCCTCCATCATCGTCACACCTGAGAAATAGATAATAAATTAAATTGCCAAATACAGTCATAAGACACAAGTCTTCAGATTCAAGTTACAGATCATGACTAACCTGAATAATTTGCCTCCTTCATCGTCCTCATAGTCGGATCTGGAAGCCAGGGAAATTCACATAATTAGTGATGTTGCACAACTGCTCATTACACAACTCCAACATTGCAAAGAAACGGCATTCAAATGATCCCGCATTTCTCCACCCGACAGGCAGACGGATCAACAAGCCCAGCAATGAATCAAATCAACCACAGACACTCAATAAACAACGCTACTATTGTTTGGACGAAGCCATAATGTCATTCCCGGGAATTTGAAAAGCCGCCGCCAAACAAAACATCTTCGCACACGATGCAAATTAAGAGACCGTTCACCGACAAACGAACATCCCGTCAAAAAATTAAACCCGTATGACATTCTGTAGAACATCAAAGGAGACGTTAGGAGGAATGTTCAGGCTGCTAATGCAAGACAACCATGAAATTCTCAAAAAATGACAAAAAGAACAATAAAACACCATGTAATTTGTATTCCTGTTATGTGGTCAGGATCATGACGTCCTTATGACTCAATCCAGAAATGCGGGAATATTTTCCATTCTTTTACCCTTCAACTGAGAGGCTCTACATCACATGTAGTATTTACAGCAAAATGAATGCATTATTAGCGTGAAATAATGTATTTATAATGGTAAATGCATTTAGAATGATGAAAAATGTCAGCTCTGTTTTTGGTTTAAAAATAAGTCATTACAAAAATAAGTTTAACAATAAGTTAATAAGAATTAAATGTTCCCTATCACGCATAACTTATTATTAACAGTTTTAAACCACTAATAGCAATATTAGCAATATTTAGCTCTAGATCAGGGGTGTCAAACTCAATTCCTGGAGGGCCGAAGCCCTGCACAGTTTAGTTCCAACCCTGCTCCAACACACTTACCTGTAGGTTTCAAACAAGCCTGAAGGACTCAATTAGTTTGATCAGGTGTGTTTAATTAGGGTTGGAACTAAACTGTGCAGAGCTGCGGCCCTTTTGGAACTGAGTTTGACACCTGTGCTGTAGATGCTTACCTCAAAGCAGACTCCACATGGCATGTCTAAAACACTATTATATGCATTCTCATTATATTATTGTTTTTAAAAATTGAGAATTTCACTGAAATATCACAGTTGACATAATTAATTTACTATTAGTGTATCCTAAATATTCTCCACTAATTAATTACAGAAGAATAACTACACGCCTTAATGCATCGTAAACTAGTGCTTTACAGATTATTTTGCCTTTTGATAACCGATGTAAAGGAATTGACCGGATTGTAGAAACGAACACAAAATGTTTTTTTTTTTTTTTTTTGTCACTGAAATTACAAATAATACAGAAAATCTGTGTTTCGTGCAAATGTTTACTTGTTTACTTAAAAGGGATTAAATGTAGGCTTGATAATAGATTCTGAATGTATGGTTCCAGGGTCAGAGACGGTCAAAAATAGGTTATGTTGGAGTTAAGTACATATTAACACAGATAAATATTCACAAAATATTTTGTCTAGAGATGAATTGAAACTGTATATTGGTTTTTGAAGTTTATCTAGGAGATGCAAAATGTCCCTCCAATCCAGGAATCACCATTCTGTGTATTTATAAGTGCTGTCCAAAATAAAAGATCATATTTACTAAAAATATTTCTGCATTACTTCAGTACATTTATGCATACTGTGTATATTCATGTTTACAAACATATGCATGGCTATAATGCATAAAATGCTTGTTTATACACACACACACACACACACACACACAACCAATATGTGCATATAATCCAATACACCCTTTGCACAGTTTTCAGTCAGAAATTCATGAAGAAACCATGAAGCTCTGTAGCCTTTCAGTTCTCGTAAATCTTCAATCAAACTCTTATTTGAAAACACCATTTTATTTAAGCCTTACACAGCTAAAAATAAATACAACATTACGCCATCATGTCACCACCAAGGAAAGTAAATAAAAGGATTTTTTTAATGCACAGATTGTACTTTTATTCCTGTACGAATTGTCTTTCTTATTCCTGTAGTACGATAGCAGTCTTATTTTTGTATGATATATTATTTCTTGTATATGTGTGTGTGTGTGTGTGTGTGTGTGTATACACACACATACTGTACACACATAAATATACACAGTACACACGTGTATATTATGTAAATTAGTGATGGGAAGTTCGGATAATTTTTCTGACTCTGATCTTTGAGTCTCGTTCATCGAGGACTCGAGAGATGAACGGATCAATTATTTTTCCGGCTCTAAACACATATGATTGGCTTCTGCCTTTCCGCGATGAACGACTCAAAAGACTTGAAATGAACAATACCACCTGCACAAATGTGCGCACGCGCAGATAAACGAATCACTGCCTGTGAGAACTCGCAGTTCCCGAATGATTTTGAAGATTCGTTCAAAATGAACGAATCGTTCAAGAACGACCCATCACTAATGTAAATACAAACTTTTATTTTGGAAGCAATAATCGTTCAACAGCAGTAATATTCATGATGTTTTTTGTCATTTTTGAAGACACATTTCCCAAAGCATCTCCTTCTAAGGTCAACAGATTAAAAAGGGTCAAAACGACGTCAGAACTCTCCTTTTTCAACTAAACAGTGTTTCAGCAGGATTAATGAGACGCTGAGTGTTCACACATCAGACTTACGTGGCTTGCCGTTTGTTGGCTTTTTGCACACCGTTGGAATGAGATCCATTAGAGGAGGTCATGGCCAGAGACGGGACCTCAGACATATCTAAAACAAAACACAAAGACCAGAATGATAACCAGGGCCGGGTGATATGACAGAAATCTCATCTCACAATTTAAGTCAACTGATAACTATAATCAAGTTAACTATACGGTGCTCAGCCTGAATAAACGTACACCTCTCACAGATCTCTATTTGAAATTCATACTTTCTACAGGATTATATTTATGCATATACAGCTGCACATATACCTTTGTATATAGTAATATACCTGTACATACACTTGTTAATTTCTATATTTGCATTAACTGCTTACTTCTTTTTAAAATATATTTATTATCTGTTTTTTTTTGTCCGGTCTCTGTAATTCTGTTGCACTGTAGAAGCTCTGTCTGTGCTGATACATTTGATTAGTCAGTACCAAAGCCAAAACTGGAAATAATCTCACAAAAAATAATGAATTTATTATACAGTAGTCTTGATGCTTACTGCACACCTCTTTTCCACTTATTGTCTTTTTAATAATAAAAAAAAATAATAAAATTAATATATATTATTTCTCAATTGATTCAAAACTTCAAGGAAAATGTTAATTATGAATGTAGAAAAATAAAATAAATATAAATGAAACATAAAACTTTCAAGAACTGATGATCACTAATTGCAAGCACAATAATCTAAGAATGGGGTAAGCAAAATAATCTTGTTTTTCCTTTTGACACAAGATTACATAGCTCACCCGACTGGCAGATTATTTTGCTTGTTTATGGAAAAACCCACTAAAGTTGACATATTAGTTCCTAAAACAAGACAGTTTGCTTGTCTAGAAAAGTTTTAGATATTTGGGTTAGAAACAAGACAAAATAAATCTAAGTTTAAAAAGCATTTCTTGCACTGTAACTAATCTTAACATACACAATCAGTGTCTTAGTGTTGTCCTAAGATGCACACCAAAATTTTAAAGAGCAGTAATAACATTGTTAAAACATAACGATAATGAAAAATTGTTTTACATTTATCCAGAATGTGAAAAATATATACCTTTTTAAGCTGCTTTAAAAAGAGACTATTATGAGAACAAAACCAGCTTAATGCCTTACGTTATATCTTTAAAAATTGTACTAAGTAATTTCAATAGTTAATAAGAAATTTAATGCTTTAATACTAAAACACTTATAAATCTCACTGCTTAGACAACAGAAACTACACATTTATTCTTTAAATCGAAACCAAACAAGGAGGTTTAGCTTTACTTAAAAATCAAACACTGAAGAAAAGTTGATATGTATTATCAAATCATAAATTAAATAATGCAAGACTAGCAGCAAGCCATCATAAGCACGTGATCCTCCAGAAATTAGTTAATAAATAAACCTCACTTATTTAAAGCATAACAAGCTACTGTAAATAATATATGCCCTAAAATTAGCATTACTTTTCTAGCTTAATAAGTGATTCAATTACAGTAAGCGGTTATTTTGTAACTAATTACACCTGACACTACCTGTACATTAATAAATGAATATTCTAGAACAAATCTAGGTAGCAGGGTTGTAAAAAAATAAAAACAACCGCTCACATAATAATATCCAAGTTAGCTTGACATTCAACATTTTCCAAAGGTGAATGAGCTCTGACCAGCTGCTGAGGTTTACTGAATAGTTTCAGCTCAGTTTGAGTTAATAATGATCAAGCTTATTCACATATCAGAGTAAATATTATCATTAATTCTGCTGTGTGTCACAGAAAAACATGGCAAAGTAAGTCCAAACATAACCCTTGATGACAGCTTGTTTTGAACATGTAGCATTAGCATATGGGAAGCCTCTGTCGTTGTTTAAAACAAAGTTTAAACAAGTTTATTGCGCATATAAACCTGCTTATTTATATCAAAAACAAACACAATACACAGCACCAAAAAATAAAACATGTTTACTCCTGACATACATGAGAAAGACGCAGAAAATAGAGCAACGAGTGTGTACTGTATACTGAAGTACAGTTCTTGATAAGCACAGCTAACGTTAAATGGTTAAATCTGATAGATCTGACTGTTGTTTTGAGTCTTTGTGTGTGACAGTGTGTGTAAATGACAGCTAAACATCAGACTGTCATCGCTCCTTACTGACCGAAGAAACAAAACACAAACCCTGACGTCTGCTAGCAAAGCGCTAATGTTCGGTGTTTTTATTATCAGCTCCATCAGAACAGCTGCTCGAGCTAGCCTACACCGAAAAACTCGACCAAAAAACACCACGACCCAGACATTCAACTGCATAATATGTAATATCATACGTTACCCGGATTAGCTGATGTCATGTCCGACAGGCAAAGGTGTTTAGATTAACAAACATATACGAAACTAGTTTCCCAGCAGCTGAGGGAAAACCTCCGCTCCCGCTCTGATGTTAGCTTCTCTTCACTCCGATAGTCTCTTTGAAAGTGCTTTTAAACCGATGTCATGACCTTAAACATGCTGTCATTTTCTCGTTCAGCTTGTGCGGTATCCTCGAGACGTTTGATAGTTGTTTCTTTCTTGGTGCTCTTTTGACTTTTTTCCAGATTAAAAACCTGCCCTGATCCAAGATGGCGCGTGTAATCTTCCAGTAAGCAGTAAATGTACGTCAGAGGAGGAAACTAGAGGCTCTACAGGAGCCAGCAGCGCCACTCAGAGCGCGCGAAGGGTGTCGCAAAAACAAAACACTTTTAATATAATATACTTTTTTTTTTTCATAAGTGTATTTTTCTGGAAAAGATTTTTCCTAATTGACTATAATGACTATATTTTATCAATCTATATTTTATATTTTGGTCTGGTCAATATGGCTTAATCCACACAATCTATTTGGGGTTGAACAACATGAAGGAATTAAGTTAATTTATTAGATTTTACGATTTTAAGTGGGTTGAACCTAAAACATTTAACTCCCCCCCCCAAAAAAAAATCAAGAATTGTGTTGTTTTGGCTTATTTTGAATAAGTAGTTAAATATGTAGCAGGTAACATGATTTTGTGTGTACGGTATATGTGACCTTATATAATTTTCTCTTATTATTATAATTTTTTTATTTAGTTTAATTTTTTCTGTGTTTTTTTCTAATGTTTAAAATTTCAGTTGTTGCGGTCTTATAGTTTGTGGGCAAAAAAAAACACTTCCTCAATTTTATTACAATTAAATTAATGCTGTTTTGTTTTTATTTTTATTTGTGTTACTGATACTTTTATTATTATCATTATTATTTATTTATAATTTATTATTAATTTGTATTTGTTTTGTGAACATTGCTAGTAAACTACTTAAAACTGAATTTAATAGGTGTAAAACACATTAAAATATCTTTAATAGGACATATGTAAGCAACCATATGCAAATATTACATTTATTTTAAAACTGATTGATCACTTCCTCAATTTTATTTTTATTTTTACAATTAAAATTATTTTTGTTTTTATTTGTGTTACTGGTAGCCTACTTATATTATTATTTATTTATTTATTTGAAAACATTGCTTCTAAACTTCCATACTTAAAACTGAATTTAAGCAGAATAGTGGAAGTAATAAACGTAAATACACAAAAATATGCTTAATAAGTAAATATTTAAGCAACCATATGCGTATATATCAAATTTATTTTTTATATAATTCATTATAATTCATTTTCAAAAGGTTCCTACAATGTACACGATCCCAACAAAATAACAACAAAACTAAATTAACATTACACCCTTCAGCAACAAACAACAAAACACAAACATAAATTGAACGGGAGAAAGAAAGGAAAGAATAAAATTATATATATATATATATATATATATATATATATAAATAACTGATCGCTCAGAGAATGGGTGGGTTACATGTGGGGGCTCGTCCGGGATGGAAGTGAGGTTTAGGAGGGTGAGTGTAACAGAGGCCAGCTCGCGAAGTGCTATGCAGGTAAACCTCCTCTGACCTCTAAAGGTGCTCCAGCGACAGATGCTAGAGGCCATGGTCTTTAGCCCACTTGTTAGAGCAACCGACTCCCATACAAAGAATCACTGGGTCAATCCCAGCTCAGACCGGGCTGGGTTCAGTAGGAACGGTGGGTTACATATAAAATAAATAAAATAATAATAAATAATAAAATATTGAGGCGGCGCTGTGGCAAAGTGAGTAGTGCTGTGACTTCTGATGAATAAAGGGACTAAGCCGATAAGAAAATGAATTAATAATAAGTAATAATAATAATAAAAAGTAATAATAAATCAAATAAACTATATATATATATATATATATATATATATATATATATATATATATATATACATACACACACACACACACGCCTGGCCAATTTTATATAAAATTTTGATTTTCTTATAAACTAATTGTAAACTCGCTGAGTTATGTTTTGTATTGGAAAGTAACGTTTATATTTTAAACAATATTGTCGTAACTCATGTATAATCTGCAGTGGGAATTATCTTGAATAAGTGACATTTTGACGAAGGGAAGGCTTAAAAAAAAAAAATAAATAAAATTCTGATGGAAATGAAATTCAGGCAGAAGCGAGACAAATGATAATGTTTTCATAACAGATAAATATTTATAATGATTATTAGCATTATTTGTTTAACATTCGCCAGTTAGTCGTGTAAAAAAAGACAAGATTGTGCTTTTTAAAAAGTAAACATTATCGCATAGTCCTTTACATTCTTTCTAGTAGCTTGCAGCCAATTAAAATGGCAGCTGAAGGTCACGTGACTCCCACGGAAAAGAGTTTAGAGTGGCGTTTCTTCTTGTCCTCCTTAAGGTCTTTGCAGAGCTGCATTCCGATCCGCGTGTTCCCTTCACAGTGTTCACTATACCCTGTTCCCTATACACTGCGCTGGAAAAAACTTCGGAATTTCGCATAGAGTTCTTTTAAAAGGGCACCCACACCACTCATTTATATTAGAGATCAGTGACCTACTCCTACATAGCTTTATGCAGATGTTTTTTTCGCGTACACTTCATTGAATGTCATTCTATTTATCTATTTATTTGTTTGTTGATTTTTTTAAATGAAAATGTATTGCAGTTTGAGCATTTGAATTAAATGCAATTAGTTAAACAGGGTTTCTGCAAGTTTCACCAGGCTACATTTAAGACTTTTAAAGACATTTTAAGACCATTATGAAGTACATTTTAGACGTATACATGAGAAAAACTCAGGATTTTAAAAATAAATATATATCCCAGTTGGAAAAGATTTTTACCTGCCCTATCAAAAAAGAATAATTTAATACATTTAATGATACAAAAATAGAAATAAAAATAATTGAATAAAAAAAATATATAGGCACAAATTGGACGGAATATTTTTGAGTCTTATGTGCCTTACCCAGAATATAAAAATATATATGAATACACTTAAATCATTTACTTTAATCATTACTAGTGGAATGTAAAGAGACTTTCAACCAGCACAACAAAACATGTGTCTAATGAAAATAACCTACTGCAGGGGTTCCCAAACTTTTCAGCCCGCAACCCCCAAAATAACAATGCCAGAGACTCGTGACCCCAATATCCCCTGAGGGAGTTATAAATACAGAAATCTTGCATGCAATGCACACACCAACAGACCCAAGTCTATTCTTGGTTTAATTTTTCAGTGCTATAAATTGGAGAAAAAGTTTAACCTGGTGTTATAAAATCAATCTTGTGCGTCGGACACTATTGCTGTCTTTATTTATTCATTCATTTTCTTGTCGGATTAGTCTCTATATTAATCTGGGGTCGCTACAGCGGAATGAACCGCCAACTTATCCAGCAAGTCTTTACGCAGCGGATGCCCTTCCAGCCGCAACCCATCTCTGGGAAACATCCACACACAGTCATTCACACACACACACTACGGACAATTTTGTCTACCCAATTCACCTGTACCGCATGTCTTTGGACTGTGGGGGAAACCGGAGCACCCGGAGGAAACCCACGCGAACGCAGGGAGAACATGCAAACTCCACACAGAAACACCAACTGAGCCGAGGCTCGAACCAGCGACCTTCTTGCTGTGAGGCGAACGTGCTACCCACTGCGTCGCCATTGCTGTCTTTAATATAATGTAATTGGTCACAATCCAATAGAACTAGTAACTATAAGCTACTATAGTAACTTTGTAGTATATAGTAACCATAAGCGACTATTTTCTCTTTAGTAGGTTATGGATACAATATGGTAATTCTTATGGTTTAATAAAAATAATTCGATTTTTGGAAATCACCAGGCTACCCCCCTTATTGTCCCACGACCCCTCAGGGGGTCCCGACCCCCACTTGCAGAACCACTGACCTACTGCACCTTTAAGTTAACTTAATTGTTTTATTGTTTTAACAAATTTTAGTATATTCAACATAAAAAAATTAAGTTGCCCCCCCCCCCCAAATGTTTTGTTTCAACTCATTTTAAATAAGTAATTTGAACAAGCAGCAAAATATGTTTTGAGTGTACCTTAAAATATGAAAATGACCTATCAAATTAAAAAGACTTTAAAATTAATGTCTAATTTGGGCAAAGCTTTATTTGTTAGCATTAAACCAGTGAACAAATGAATGTGTGAAACTGTCTAACTGCCTGAACGTGATCAAGTTTTTTAATGATGAGATTGCAGAAAATGAGTCTAGACCAGGTGTGTCAAACTCAATTCCTGGAGGGCCGAAGCCCTGCACAGTTTAGTTCCAACCCTGCTCCAACACACTTACCTGTAGGTTTCAAACAAGCCTGAAGGACTCAATTAGTTTGATCAGGTGTGTTTAATTAGGGTTGGAACTAAACTGTGCAGAGCTGCGGCCCTTTTGGAGCTGAGTTTGACACCTGTCCTGTAGACCATTGCAGATTTAGTTCAGAGGATGAGCTGTAGTGTTTTAGCAGTTGTGAACATTAAATCATGGCTTTTATTACAAACATTTATTCCTTTCCTTCGGCTTAGTCTCAAATTTTTTTTGAGGTCGCCACAGCGGAATGAACCGACAACTATCCCAGCATATATATTACACACATACACATTTATTACACACATACACACTCATTCACACACTCATACACTACGGCCAATTTAATTAATCAATTCACCTAAAGCGCATGTGTTTGGTCTGTGGGGGGAAACTAAAGCACCCAGAGGAAACCCACACCAACACGTGGAGAACATGCAAACTCTTCACAGAAACCCTTAGTGACCCAGTTGGGATTTGAACCAGCGACCTTCTTGCTGCGAGGCAACAGTGCTAACCAGTGAGCCACCATGCAGCCTCTTTATTCCAAACAGTTGAGTATAATGTTGTTGATGTCTGAAGGGGCCAGTAGAGGGTGATCTTGGACCGTTTTCCAAAAACTACAGCGAATCTCATCATTATATGGGCAAATCCCTGCTGAAACAACTGCTTAAACCAGCCTAGCCTGGTTAGCAGGTTTTAGCTGGTTGACCTGCCTGATTTTAGAGGGGTTTTCAATAGTATCTGGATGCAGCCTTTATGATGCAAGCTGAGATTGCATCACTCAGCGATGCAATGTCAGACACAATGCACTCAAATGGAGCGAGTGACATCACTGTGACGGGTGGGGTTAGGTGAGCTTATTAAAAAGCATTGGATGCAGCTCAAATTGCACTGCACCAGGTCTGCATCCAGACCCTCTTGGGGTTTTAGTCATTAACAGGCTGGTGTCCAGCCATTTCCAGCCTGGTCTTAGCTGGTCAGGCTGGAAAATGACCAGCTAAATCCAGCTAAAACCAGATTGCAGCCTGGTTTAAGCTGGACATAGCTGGTTCTGGCTGCACTCCCAGCTTGACTAAGCTGATAAAGCCAAGACCAGGCTGGAAATGGCTGAACACCAGCCTGTAAATGGCCAAAACCCCTCTTAAATCAGGCTGGTTGACCAGCTAAAAACCAGCCAACCAGCCTAGGCTGGTTTGAGCTGTTCTTCAGTAGGGAAAACAGACATTGTTCTTAATTTCTGAACATCGACATAAGTTTAGAGCTTTGAAAACACACAAGGATGAGGAAACAACATCATTTTTTATTATATTGTGGTGAGACAAAGCCTCAAAATCTCCAAAAACAACCACTAAAATAGTTTACACTCGTCACAAGAGAAAAAAAACAAACAAAAAAAAACATTAAAAATGTAGTTTAGCACTGGTTACAAAACTATGTGTTATTGTCTAACCTTTCCGTTTCCATGTGCTTATTGAATAATGCTACGCAGCATTTTAATGGTGGTCAAAGACGCCTCCTAGAAATGTCCAGCAGGCTCAGTGTACTCACTAGCATTTCATCAATCGTTTTCTACAGGTTTGATTTTGATGTGAATCCCATTGAGAGATCGGAGAACGACTTGAGGGATCATCTTCGGGGTGTGATCGGGGTCTTTAATGAGGTAATATCTCTTCAGCGTCAGCGCCACTGCTACTTTCATCTCATTCATGGCGAAGTTCTGCCCAATGCAGTTTCTGCAATCAAACACACATCAGAGCTCTATGGAAACAAAGCTGCATCCCAAATCGCATACTTATGCACTATTCTACGCCATTTTGTAGTATAAATAGTGTAAGTAGTGTGTTCACACTGAAAACTATAAAAATAATAAGTGCACTTTAATTACCCGGATGATGCACTCATTCAGCCGCTAAAATGAAGTGTGTAATGATGGACACTTCACGCACTCAACGACCGCAGGTTTGCTTACATAGTGGAAGGGGCGGAGCTATCGGACGCACATGTTGGATAACTTTATTTATTTTGGATGGTGAAAGCAAAATTCTCCTACCAGAGTGATTATAGCGCCTCCCGATGGTGAATGCGGTTATACTCACGGCAGGTATTATTTGATAATTCGGTCGTTTATTTCACTGATTTGGCGACCGTCAAACGTCATCAGGGAAACGGTTTAAATTTCCGCTTAGTAAAAAAACATTAGTGTGCCATTTGGGACGACACCACATACATATACTATCCTGTTGAGTGTGTAAGTGCATAAGTACATAGTGCATGAGTGCATAGTGTATAGTGTGCCATTTGGGACGCAGCTGAAGTGTGTAATGATGGACATTCACGCACTCAACGATTCAAAGATTATATAATACATGTATAAATAAATACATTAAATGTACATACATTAAAAAAAATCTAAATAATAAAAACTTTCAAGGATTCAAGATGCTGATGACCCTTAAACGCCTCACTAGAGTCAGCTGTGCACATTTTGCTGATTAAATGAAAAACGAAAGTCGGGGAGAAGCCGAATTCTGCCGCCGTTTTCATATCAAATGTAAAGAGGACAGAATTTGGTTTACAGTTTATGAGCTAATCAGAAAAGTTTTAGGGGGGCTGAGTAGAAATATTGGGGGCTACAGCCCCCCTAAAATAGGCCTAGCGATGCCCATGGTGCCAAATATGTTCTAGGAGGTACTTTTTTTGCAGTTTTTGTTTTCACGGATCCATCAGAGGCCACTTTGTACGCTTTTTGAAATCTCACATTTCTCTTGTAAGTGCCAATCGTGCCTGCTGTTCTCACGTAAATCCACCAGAGGCTGCTATTGACTGAGGCCCCATTTACACCTGTGCGTTTTAAAACGGCTTTTTAGATCAAAAACGATCCGCGTCCACACTAGCGTTTCACCTAGTGTTTTTGAACTTATCTCCGTCCACACTACACCACCAAAAACGTTTATCACGTGACCATTCGCACACTTTGGGCATGTATAAACAGGAAGCATGTGTCTTACTCAGCATTTGGTTATTGTTTGTCAACAAACGCCGGTTGAACATTAAACGCGATGGCAAAGAAAGCAAGAGAGGTATTTTTGTGGACAGACGACGAGGTCGAGTTGTTACTAAACGTAACAAATGAATAACTGCACAATGGCGCCTAAAACAGACAATAGTGCAAACAACGCTCCCATTTCTGTGTCCATGTTGTTGTCTACAGTGAAGGCTGGTCTGCTGTCTTCTGGTAGCGTTAAAGCCATGTGTTATAGTCATGTGATAGGGGCTTGACCAATAAGGGAAGGATACGCAATGACACAAAAGCCCCAATCAGGTAGCGAATCTCAGCATCCCCACCTCCATTTTCAGATGTCTCCGTTTTCCCCCATCCACATTGAGACGGAGCAGCAGCGTTTTAGAATGAAAACAGGCTCTCCAGCGTTTTCAAAACGCTCCGTTTTCGGCACTCAAAACTCCGGCGTAGTGTGGACGGATGGCGTAACCGTAGCAAAACTTATTCGTTTTCAAACTAAAACGCATTAGTGTAAACAGGGCCTGACTGACTGACTGACTGACCAATCGACTAACCCACCACCCTCCTCCTTCCCCGAACCCAACCGAAAACAATCCATAAAAAGAAAAGCCCTCGTGACCGCCTGATTTTTACCAGGTTTTCAGATTTTACCATGTTCTCACTCTGTTATTTACTTGTTTAAGCCACTGGACAAATTGGTAACCACGGTAAAGGCGTCCATACAGTCATACCTCCCATAGCGTTCGTTCTATACGTTCCTCTGCCTACATAATTCGCTATTTTAGAAATATATATAGGGCTACGTTTTTTAGGGCTTCGAATGAGCCTATGCTTCACTTACTCTCAAGTAGTTCCAAACATATTTAGGTTTCTTTTTTTCTGTTAAACTAAAGAAAAAAAAGATATTTCGAAGAATGTTAGAAACCGGTAACCATTGACATCCATTGTGCACTGTAAAAAATATTTGTTAATTAACAGTTTCTGTATTTTGCGATTAATTTGCAGATAATTTACAGTTGTGAATTGCATTATGGGATGTTGATCTCTGCTCTGTTGGGTTTTGATGTTAAAAATTCAACTCTACAGTTTAACAAAGTGACTTTTATTCGTTGACATTTTAGTAGTTTGAAATAATATCATGTATAAGAAATAATGGGAAATAAGCGTTTAAAATAACAGAACTTGTGCTGCAGTTTATTTCAAGGTGTTTGTAGTGTAATAAACAACACCAACCCAGACAATATAGCACTTTAAACTACTAAAAATGTTCATAAAAGTCACTTTTTTTTTTACTTTTCAAGGTTAAAGGGTGTTAGAAGAAAGATCAAGCTCCTATAATGCAATTCGAAAGCAGAAATATACTGAGACAATAAAAACATGAATCACAAAATGCAGAGAACTGCTAATTTAGGGAGATTTTTTACAGTCAATGGTTACACGTTTTCAACATTCTTCAAAATATCTTCTTTTAAGTTCAAGAAATAAAATATATTTGGAACAAGTGAAGGGTGAGTAAATAATGCCAGAATGTTCTCTTTTGGGGGAACTATCTCTTTCAATACGATATTTTCAGGTGTATTGACTACTCAGCATTTCTTTCCTAAAGTTTACGCTCTCGTGTGGGTTGAAATAAGGTCAGAGCAACAGACACTCCAAACCAAACAACAGCTCTATTCTGCGTGCGCTGAAATCGGAGTGAATGACCCACTTGCTAAAACGTTCATGTCTTAAACACTCCGGGTTACAAACCTGGGTCCAGCAGAGAAGGGCACAAAGGCATGTGGAGACCTGTTAGCGACGTTCTCAGGCAAAAACCTCAGGGGATCAAATTTCTGCAAAACATTTGCGAATAAAGCACATTAAAGAAACATATTTTAATGCACATAAGACTTTTAAAATGTATTAATATGATTATATCTACTTTTTTTAGTTCCTATAGCAAACACAGAGACTTTCCACACACACATAAACAAACAAACATGACTCTTCACCACAAAATCAGTCAGAAATTGAGATTTATATCTGAAAGCTGAATAAATTTGCATTTAGTGCGGTAATAATGAGTTCTCAATCTCTTTATTAAAATACATCCAGAAAATACAGGTTCTAGTTTTTTTTTTTTTTTTTTTGAGGGGGGGGGGGGGTCTATTTGTTTGATATGAAAGAACGAGTTTGAGAAAGATGGAAGGATGAATAAAAGACACTGGAGTTTCTGTCTTGGTTTGATCTGCATTTCTGCCAGAGCTGTTGTATTCAATATTGCCAGACAAGCTTAAAATCGTCATGTAATTCCTACTGGAAAGCAGCTCATTTGTAATAGTTTTATTTTTCAGCAGGATAATGATCCCAAACACACTGCTAATGTAATGAAATCATATTTGGAGCCGTTAAAACAAAGAGAGTGATAAAATGGCCTGCACAGAGTCCACACCTGAATATTATATAGTATGTATAGGCATTATTATTGGCAGTATATGAGATTCACTTGGAGAGAAATAGAAAGATAGAAGATGCTAAATCTAAGGAAGAACTCTTAGAAATGCTGAATATTAAATAGCACATTTCAGAAAAGGCACAACACAAAAGTTCAATCTGTTGGTTGGTGCTAAAGAGTCACGTTTAACAGACTTTTATTCTTGAGAAAATCACCTTTAAAGTTGTATAAATGAAGTTCTTAGCCATGCACATTACCAAGTATATTATTATTATGTGTATATATGCTGAGTATTTTATTAAATATATTGTTATTAATGTTTCCCAGTACTGGGTTGCAGCTGGAAAGGCATCTGCTTGGTAAAGCATATGCTGGAATAGTTGGTGGTTCATTCTGCTGTGGCAACGCTTGATGTGTACGGGACTAAGCCGAAGAAAAATGAATGAATGAATATATATTTTTAATATATTTTTAGGGGTTTTCAGCTTTAATGACAGGACAATGAAGATTAACAGACAGGAAATTGTGGGGAGCAGAGAGAGGGGAAGGATCAGCAAAGGACCTCATGCCAAGAATCGAACTCGGGTCGCCGAGCACCTGGGTGCTATATGTCGACGCACTAACCACTAGGCTATTGGCACCAACAATGAATGAATATTGTTATTACGTTATTATCATTCACTTAATCTGACTGTGGGGCGACACAGTGGCTCAGTGGTTAGCACTTGCCTCACGGCAAGAAGGTCGCTGGTTCGAGTCTCGACTGGGTCAGTTGGCATTTCTGTGTATGTAGGTGAACTGAATAAACTAAATTGGCCGTAGTGTATGAGTGTGTGTGAATGAGTGTATATGAGTGTTTTCCAATACTGGGCTGCAGCTAGAAGGGCATTAAAGAAACATATTTTAATGCACATAAGACTTTTAAAATGTATTAATATGCAAACACACTGCTAATGTAATGAAATCATATTTGGAGAAAAAAACTGCCGTTAAAACAAAGAGAGTGATACAGAGTCCACACCTGAATATTATATAGTATGTATAGGCATTATTATTGGCAGTATATGAGATTCACTTGGAGAGAAATAGAAAGATAGAAGATGCTAAATCTAAGGAAGAACTCTTAGAAATGCTGAATATTAAATAGCACATTTCAGAAAAGGCACAACACAAAAGTTCAATCTGTTGGTTGGTGCTAAAGAGTCATGTTTAACAGACTTTTGATTCTTGAGAAAATCACCTTTAAAGTTGTATAAATGAAGTTCATATGGTTCACTGTGTAAACCATATGCGGGATAAGTTGGCGGTTCATTCTGCTGTGGCGACCCTTGATGAATAAAGGGACTTATCCAAGGGAAAATGAATGAATGTTCTGGTTGTGCGAATTTTGGTTATTATATCACAGAGGGGTCAAAACTTTTACTTGTAAATAAGTACCGCCTGTACAAGAAATTGCTGTGGTTATATAAATTGCTGATTTCATGACGTCTAGATTTTCAGCATTTCTATCTCTAACTCATCAAATATGAGTAAATGATTGACTGTTTTCAGACGAAGCTTCTCATATCACGTCAGAGAACATGATCGTCATGCGGATCCAGTACTGCCGCCATTAAAATGAAATATTATGTAATTAAAAATGTATTTAAAATGCAACTTTAGAGCCTTTTCACAACTTGTTATTTGTTACAGTTGTCATGTGCAGTGAGTGATGCATTGCATATTGGAGATGTAAAGAAAATACTCATACATATGGATTCTCCCACACTGTGGAATTCATGTGGATCCCATAAATGCTGACTCCAATGGTGCAACCTGTGGAAGAGTAAAAGAGTTGTTTTAGGTGTGCAGTTACAGTATGTATTCAGCAGTGGTGAAAAGAGTATCGGAACAAGGTAAAAGTACCTAAAAATGTAGTGCAAGAAGAGTAAAAAAATATCTGTGCTGTTCTAAACACTACTCAAAGTATGAGTAAAAAGTAGCCCATATTTCACCTTATACCTGCCAATTGAAAGTATACACTGTGAAAAATATCTGTTAATGACCGGTTTCCATGCGTAGTGACTCACAAACAAGTGTTTTTCAATTATTTGCAGTTGTGAATTGCATTATGGGATGTTGATCTCTGCTCTGTCCACTTTTGATGTTGAAAATTCAACTCTACAGTTATCACGATCATCAGCGACCTCTAACCACCAGAGGTCGCTGAAAAACATTATCACTCATACAAACTACAAATCTGCCAGTTTATTGACTACAACAGGGGTCTCAAACTCGCGGCCCGCGGGCCATTTGCGGCCCTCAGTGCAATATTTTGTGGCCCGCGCTGACCGCTGTACACTTACAGAATCAGCGGAGCGGGGAGAGAGAGCGCTCCCCGCTCCGCTGATTCTATCCGTACACAGCGCGCTTGTCACTCAATGCACGTTGTCGCGCGCGTTCTGATCAGCTGTGTTGTCGCGCGTACTCAAGAGCGGTGTTATCGCACGCCTACTGAAGGGCGGGACCGAGGGTGTGTCGCGTCGCGGAGGCACTTTTCATCATTTTGGAAGGGCACTTTCTATGCAAGACTAAAAAGGGCATGTGCACTGCACAGGTTGAGCCCTATGTGTGCACGTGCCTGCCCTGCATCTTATATATATTGATATTATAGGTAGATACAGACTGGTACAGACTGATGTGACTGGAGTGGGGTGGGGATGTTTTATTTATACATATATACACCTTTTTTTAGGTGAGGGAATGGAAGTTTTGAGTGAGTTCCCCCACTTTTTTCCCTAGGACTTCAATAAGTCAAAGTACAGGTCTAGACTTAATGATGATCATCTTCAAGCCATACTGAGGGTCTCAACTGCTTCCGCTCTAAAGCCAAATGTGGTTCAGATTTGTGAGAAGAAGCGCTGTCAAGTCTCTGGCAGCAAGGAGTAGGCAAAAGATGCCATGTTCAGAAGAACTGTTCATAATCTTCACTCAATGTTCTATTAATGTTCAGGACACTTCATGTTCAGAAGAAATAATTAAAACTGTTAATAATGACATTTGAGGACTTTTTTTTGTGAAATCCCTTATGCGGCCCAGCCTCACCCAGACTTTGCCTCCTGCGGCCCCCAGGTAAATTGAGTTTGAGACCCCTGGACTACAACTTCATACATACTCTTCGTACACACACACCTGCTTCCTCATTTAGACTGATCACACTCGCACCACCTGAGCATTGTCAAAGACTGATTACACACACTATTTAAGCAGCACACACACTCATTCACATGCAGAGTCTTGTTAACTGTAAAGTAACACTACAACGCGTTTTCCTTTTCTTGTTTCTCTGTGTTTTGACCTTAGCCTAGTTTATCCTTTTGTCCTTGTTTGCCGCCTGCCTTCTGACCTCTTGCCTGTTATTTGACTACGATTCTGAACTGCCTCCATATACCTGTTTACACCTGTATTGACCATTGCTTGCCTGACCACTGATTAAACCTGCATGTGGATCTTACTTCTGTTCTTGGATTGGCTAATCGGGAGGACCGGGCCCGGTGGGCCGGTCCGTTTTTTGGCCGTGAGGGCTGGTGTCCCTAGCTCCAGAATTTGTTGCTCTCAGCAGTCACACTTTTTAAATTTATTTATTTATTTACTTGACCACAGCCTTCTTATTCATTATTTTACCGCAGCTCTGCTCTTTTTATATATAACCAGCCTGCAGGTTAATGATGATATAACTCAGATGAGTCACCTCCCAATATTCAACTGTTGTGGTACAGTGGTTAGCACATTAGATTACGACGCTACTGACCCGGGTTTGATCCTCGTCTGAGTATGTTTTTTTTTTTTTTCATTTTTATTGTTAAGACATATAATACTGTAAGGGTTGTTGAACATTTGAAGTTCTAAAGCAGCTGTTTTCTCAAAAAAAAGACGTGATTGTGTAATTAGAAACTGAATTGGAAATGACCTTATTTTAATATAGTCAGCCGTGAACTGATGTGGGCCGGTTTGAGGCTTGAAACTCCAAGGCTGAAAAGGAGTCCCACTCCGGCCCTGCTTGAGGCTGTAATCGTTGCCAGATGTGCATCAACAAAGTATTGAGCAAAGGCTGAGAATGCTGATGTACATGTGATTTTACAGCTTTTTATTTGTAATAAATTTGCAACAATTTCAAAAACTCTTTGTTCACGTTTTCATTATGGGGGATTGTGTGTAGAATGCTGAGGAAATAAATTAATTTAATCCATTTTTGAATAAGGCTGTAACAAACAAATGTGGAAAAAGTGAAGCGCTATCAATACTTTCCAGATGCACTGTATAAGAAATAATGAGAAATAAGTGTGTGAAATAACAGAAAATGTACTGGCATTTTATTTAGCGCAGGTTTTTGTTGTGTAATAAACAACACCAACCCAGACAATAAATCACTTTTTAACTATTAAAAACTTTTCACAGTTTAAAATTGTTGGAAGAAAGATCAAGGTCCCATAACAAGCAATCCAAAAGCATGAATAAACATTAAAAAAACAATAAAATTTGAATCACAAAATACAGAAAACTGCTAATTTAAGCACTGTAGCAGCAGTTTACATCAGTGCATTTCAATTTAAGGGTCTTTCGTGTGTAAATTAAATTATTATTAATTAAACTTATTATTCTACTAGTGTTTAGCACTGTCGCCTCACAGCAAGAAGGTCGCTTGTTTGAGTCCCGGCTGGGTCATTTGGCATTTCTGTGTGGAGTTTGCATGTTCTCCCCGTGTTGGCGTGGGTTTCCTCCGGGTGCTCTGGTTTCCCCCACAGTCCAAACACATGTGCTATAGAGAAATTGAATGAACTAAATTGTCCATAGTGTATGAGTGTGAATGTGAGTGTGTATGGGTGTTTACTGGGTTGCAGCTGGAAGGGCATCCGCTGTGTAAAACATATGACGGAATAGTTAGTGGTTCATTCCGCTGTGGGGACCTCTGATAAATAAAGGACTAAGCCGAAGGAAAATAAATGAATGTAGAAAAAAATGAACATATTAAGTATTAACTGCAGGTTGAAGTATAAAAGTGTCAATAAAGCACTAATAATTTCCTCAAGTAAAATGGTTTTAAAACTTCTTATTAAAGCACAAACTGAAGTGAAAACTACTTAATTACAGTCATTTGAGTATTTGTAATTCATCACATTACATCACTGGTACACTGTGAAAAATGCTGGGTTCAACACAATCAATTTGTGTTGTGACAACATGAAGGAATTAAGTTAGCTAATTAAAGTGGATTGAACATAAAAAGTCGTCCCAAAAAACCCTCAAGATTGTGTTGTTTCATCTCATTTTAAATAAATAGCTTGAATAAACAGCAAACTTTCTTTTCTGAGTGTACTCACTCAGCCTACGTTGGTGTTTTGTGACGAACTGATAATGCTCCGTGTCATGTTGCGTATGCCAAGTAACTGAACAACAAGCCACTGAGTTAATGTTCAGTCAGATGTTCTCTGAGTTAGAGGTCACCATGTCTGTTTATAAGTCAAGAGGGTATAAAACAGGCTGTCAAACTTCATTCGGCGGTGAAAACATAGCAATTACATTGGATGGTGACCAGAGATGTTGTCAAGCTGTATAAAATACCAATTTAACAGTCATACAATATAGCATTGTGTAAGGAAAATATCAGAATGCCATGACTGAAATATTAGAAATAAGAAAATTAGTGTATTAGTGTATAAATGCATGGGAACAGCACTAGCTCGGCATATACCCCATGTTTCCCTGATAAACTTCCGGTGACCTGTTATTGTGAATTTTTTTCCATTTTATATGGTTCCTTTTACAGCATTAATGTTGTAATGTCATTCAAATACCATCAGTTAAACAGACATTGCCATTCATTTAGTTAATCAAGCGTAAAACGAGACAAAAAGCCGTTTACTCGCACACACCCGTCAGAATCAGCAGGCTAGCGCGGAAGCTCCATTGAATATACCGGGGTAAAATAAATGCTCATATTATAAAGACTTGGTGGGGGAAATGTCATTTAATGCAGTGCTTCTTGGACAACCTGAGACCCACTTTATATCGGATATCACTCAGCTATTGGAGATCGCTGATTTTTAAAGAAAACACCGATTTTGCATAGGTTTACAGTTTACCGGAAACGACTAACCCAAGTTTCTGGCAAATTAAAAGTCCTGTTAGTATGCTTCAGCATATTCCCTATTTGATATTACCCTTAAGGTACATCGATAGATTAAGCTGTATTAATAATATTGTGGCTCAAAAAAGAAAAATGGATCAATAATATTATTATGGTCTCTATAGTGAGTGTGTGTGTTTATAGTAATGCATTTTGTTTATTTGTTTGTTTTATTAATTCATTAATCTTTATTCATTTTAGACAGGGCATATACCATGTGCTATACAATAAAAGTATGTGAAAATAACTGAAAATATATTTATATGAAAAGGGTTTTTAAACTAAATATAGATTTTTTTTATCAATTTTCAATTTTTTTTATTTATTGATTTTTATTTTTATTTTTTTGGAATAAATTGCGATAATTTAAAAGTAATTAATTAAATAAATTAAAGCCACATTATTTAGTCTGATTCCAGCGACGCTCCAGGGACAGACAAGTCTTTGCTGAGGCCATCTTCCAGCCTAAACCACGACGAATGAAGTTCTGCACAAGACTTTTGGCCAGCGGAGAAATTAAAATGGTCGTGCCCAAGTCTGGTTCTGGTCTGGAGTCTGGTTCTCTCAAGGTTTTTTTTCTTCACTCCCATCAGGTGAAGTTTTTTTTCCCTCTCCGCTGTCGCCACTGCCTCGCATGGTTCAGGATTGGTAGAGCTACGCATCGATGAATTTGCTCTTCAGTGTTGAACTCTCAGTAATGATTAAATCACACTGAACTGAGCTAAACTGAACTGAACTGAACTTAAACACTAAAACCTGAACCACACTGTTCCAGTTACTGAACCACACTGTTCCAGTTACTATGACCATTTATGTGAAGCTGCTTTGACACAATCTACATTGTAAAAGCACTATACAAATAAAAAAAGCTGAACTATTTCATTTACCAGAAACAAAAATATATTATTACACTGAATTCATACTGTAGCTGACGCTGATTGGTCAGCTTGTAATTTTGTTTATTGTTTTGAATGTCATTATTTGAATGTGTATTCGTTTGTTACTAATTTCTTTGTTTCCGGTTGGCCTGAGTGGGAAGTCTCATTGATTCTCATTGATTGATTTAACCTGCGAGAGTTTGTATGCCAGAGGATAGTGAGATCTCAATGCACCTGTTAAGTGCTTTTGCTAAATCTATAGCTGGTTATCAGGCCAACACGGTAAACTAAAATTGTTTTATATATTATTTGTTTATTTGATTTCCTTTTGATTGTGTTTTGTGAAACATTTGGTTTGTTTATTTGTTTATCTTTAGTTTTCACGATGTTCAATAAAGAGAATCCATATGGACATCAGTATTTGGAAGCGTGGACTGTTTTAATAACCGGCGGGTAGCTATACATACATTTTTTTGTGTGCCACCCTAAGATTTGATGTGGCTGCTTCTGGCCACCCCTAAGAAAATGTTCGGGGGCACCACTGGCTACTTTACTTTGCATTCAGGCCAGTGCAGTAAGAGACTGCATTATCATCAATAACGTTACCCGTTTAGCACAAAAGTTTGTAACATACAAAAACGTAAAAAACTAAATCTTACCTATGAAATGTTCTGCCTTTGTGCTTTGTTTTCTTAGTTTGCTCGTTACTACACCCGTACACAGCGCTAAAGTCCAGCATCTTCACATTGGCTTTGGTCTTGACTAGTGCGGTTGCATGACTTTTGTCCTAGGAGCACTGTACAAATGTGGCTATTGACGCATGCTCCCCTACTAGCAAAGAACTCTGGCCCAGATTTGGCATAAAGCTGGCACAGCATGCATTTATCCGGCACTGGCATACTGCATGTGGGCCAAACATGGCCCGGGTTTGGCAGAGGTGGCACAGTCTTTAAGGCGGCTCACAAGATTTGGACCAGATGTAAAACGTAGTATTTGGCCCAGATTTAAAAAATTGACATGTGGGCCACGTGAGTTTGGCCAGTCTTGACCCACATTTAAAATAATTTTTTGAGTAAAGAAAAAAATTCTACCAATCAGGTCACTTTGAGGAAAAAACACACCTATAGTGTGCCTAAAGCGCAACGCTTCATTGATTTATCAATTTTATTGCAATCGTGACCACCACCCTATCTGGCCCAGTTCAGGCCCAGTTATGAGTTATTAAAGACTTGGCTCAGATATGGTCCGTGTTTGGCCCTTGTCCTGAAGCCAGATTTGGTCCAGCATGTACCGTAGTTCACTGCAGCATGTGGGCCAAGCAAAACCTGATTGTTTGGGCCAGAGCTGGGCCAGAGAAATTTTGCTATGTGGGTCAGGGGCTGTATGCGATATCCAGTGTATATATCTATGCAATCAAGGAACTTTGCAAGTATTGATATCATTACTCCTGGTAAAAACAAATCCTTCATTAATATAGTTCCTATTCATATCAGCCCAGAAAAAAGCAACTTTCGACATAACTACAGAAGATTCAAGCTTTAAATAGGTTAATTATCAAAACTCTTAGGTCATTTTTGAGCAAGATGCTAATGGTCTAATCCGATTTAATGATCTATGCTAAGCTAAGCTAAAAGTGCTCCCCCAAGACCCGGAGATTGGCTGAACGGATTCAAGAATGGTCGTATTGTTGTAATTGTTGTAAAATGAGCCTTTTTTCCCTTAAAGGGCCATGACACCCCCCTCTTTCGGTTTAAGTCTACATCAGAATTTTTTCAAAAGATGCATGATTAATGGGCGTGGAGCTCCGCGAGCATCGGGCAGGAGTGGGCGTGGCCAGCAGGGGAGAAGGAGAGCGAATAACAGTTGTTGTCAGTTAGCTCACAAAATGAGACACAAAGAGGAGATGCATGAGTTTATAGTTTACAAAGTTAAAATGCAAAGAAATGAACAGTGATTTAATGCCCTGCTACATTTGTTATTCGTAATTCATATACAGACAACCACAATTTATATCATTATAAAGATAAGTGTGTTCATGTAAACACTATAAATGAGGACTTCTCCCTCAATCCCCGTATCCAGCAGACTCAGTGCAGCAGGTCTCCTGACCTGTCTATTTTAACCATTAACCCTGCTGGTAATCTGGAGGATTTAGGCAAACACAGCAGCACGGCGATGTGTCTGAATGTGAACGAACTCCTGATAAAACACAGCTTCCGCCATTCTCTAATTCTCGTGCTGCTTTCCCGACAAAAATGCTAGCAGCACGCACACAGCTTTGCTGTATGATCGGCCCTGACAAGATCGCAGGGGAAAACATGCAACAAACCCCGTGGATGATAGAAACAAACGCATATGAGCCTTCATGAACGGCAAAATACTGTGCCGTGGTTTCCGTGTCTCTCAGCTCGGGCTTGACACTGGCAGGTCTGGCAGGTCTCATGAATAATTAAGCAGCCGGCTCTTCTCATAGGATAAGAAAACTCCGCTATGAATAATAATGAGAAACCGACGCGTCATCATTGCACTAGCAGTACTGCGCTACGTCGCCGATTTTGATCCCGCCCCAAAAATCATTTTAAACCCGGAAGCTGAAATTAGCTGACAAAAGCTCAAAATTATCCAGTTTTCCCCACAATTAAAGCTGACAGGTGCTAACATTGTCTTAACTGAAGCTAAACACACACACATCTGTTAATATAAAAAAAAAAAGTTATCCGGGGTGTCCTGAACCTTTAAAGACTAACCATATGCGCTAAATGTTAATTTCATGCAGACTTTAACAACTTTAAATCAGAAATTGCTGTAGATTTCCTATATAATTACTCAAGACGTTAAGCTACGCTGAATTAGACGTGAGACTATCTTGCAAATCATACTCCGACTGTCTTGATTTACACCCATCACACCTTCCAGAACATATCTTTTAACACGTAGGAGAGCCTTCTGGAGATATTTTATGGCATTATTTGGTATTTTTAACTAACCTTCAGGTACAGTTCGTCCATCAAAGAAAGTCAAGGGTTTGGTCAGCTTCCGTGATATTCCTGGCACAGGAGGATGAAGCCGCAGTGATTCTTTAATGCACATTGTGGTGTATGGAATTTTATTCAGGTCTTCCCTAAAACAGGGGTAGAGAGGCAACATCTCAGATAAATATATTGTAATTGCAGTGTTACCAAGTGAAGCATTTAGTAGTAGTGTCATCTAGAGCTCAGCACATGGCTAAGTGCACTTAGAGTGTGTCTAAATACACTTTCGCTCTTTTTAAGGAGGGGAAAAATGGTTGCTAGTTCGAGCCTCGGCTGAGTCAGTTGGCATTTCTGTGTGGAGTTTGCACGTTCTCCCTGTGTTGGCGAGGGTTTCCTCCGGGTGCTCCGGTTTCCCCCACAAGTCAAAACCAACCCGGGCTCATTGTGGAAACGTAGCCCCGCGGACGGTTCTGCGGACCGCGATTTACGTCCCGGGAGGTACGTATTCGAGTGTTTTTTTGGCCGCTGTGCGCGCTTTTTCGCGTCTCGGGAGCGCGCGCCGTTCGTGCCCGCGCTGTTCTCGCGCGAAAAGCCGCCGGATGAAAAAAAAAAAAAAAAAAGCAAAAGCCCCCGTCTTCGATTTCGACCACGTTTTCGGATCCCGCCGCGTTCTCGCCCTTATTTTTCGGGTTCCGTTTTTCGTCTTACCTGATTTCCGGTACCTGCTGTTCCCCGGACTCGATCCCAGTCGTCGTCCACCGCGGCCGGCTCCTCCTCCTCCTCCTCGTCAGGGGCCTCCGCTCCGCCGACGCAATGCTGTGAGCTAAGCGGACAAACTGATTGCGTCGGGAAAGCCCTCCACTCGGAGGCGAGCCGTCGGCCTGCGAGAGCGAAGAGGAGGAGCAGAGCGGCGTCACACCGCCCCGCAGCGTCCGCTCAAAAAAAAACAAACACGGCCTTTACGTACCTCCGGCCACGTAAATAGCGGTCTCCAGAAACGTCCGCGGGGCTACGTTTCCAGAATGAGCTTGGGTTGGTCAAAACACATGCGGTACAGGTGAATTGGGTAGGCTAAATTGTCCGTCGTATATGAGTGTGAATGAGTGTGTATGGGTGTTTCCCAGTGATGGGTTGCAGCTGGAAGAGCATCGGCTGTGTAAAACATTTCTTGGATAAGTTGGCGGTTCATTCCGTTGTGGCGACCCCGGATTAATAAAGGGACTCAGCCGACAAGAAAATGAATGAATGAATTTGAGTAATGACAGTACCACTCCAGCGTGGCTTTTCCATCCAGAGCTTGCTGGATCTCCTGCCTGCATTTCTCCTGGTGCTCGGGATTACAAGCCAGATTATAGAAGATCCAGGATATTCCACTAGCCGTGGTGTCGTGGCCCTCAAACATGAACGTGTCCACTTCAGCTCTGATGTCCTCGTCTGACAAACCCTGCTGATGCTCGTCCTGTGGGCGGCACACAAAAATCAGTCCATGCCATCGCATGCATTACGTAACAAAATGTCAGATGTTTATTTTGTGTGAGTGTTTGAGAATCTCATACTCGAGCAGACAGAAGAATATCCAGAAAGTCTAAATATCGTCTGTTTTTAACAATGCCCTGCTCCTCCTCCATCTTCAAGACTTCTTTCCTCTTTCTGATAACTTCCGCTAAAAAACAGATGAAGGAATTGAAATGACATGATAGGTTTGAGTCCTACACCATTTAAACGTTTGGGGTCAGTGAGGTTTCTTTCTTTTTACTGCTTTTATTTGATTAAAAATATATACAGTTGACCCACCTGAATATTAGCCCCCCTGTTTATTTTTTCCCCAATTTCTGTTAAACGGAGAGAAAATTTCTTCAATTGGTAACACTTTACAATAAGGTTCATTAGTTAATGCATTTACAAACATGATCTAATCATGAACAACACATGTACAGCATTAATTAATCATAATTGAACATTTACTAATGCATTATAAACATCCAAGTCCATGCTTGATAACATTAGTTAATGCACCGTGAGTTAACATGAACTAACAATGAACTACTGTATTTTCATTAACTAACGTTAACTAACATAAACAAATACAGTAGTAGATGTACTGTTCATTGTTTGTTTATGTTAGTCAATGCATTAGTTAACATTACCTTATGAACCTTATTGTAAAGTGTGACCCTTCAATTTATTTTTTCGATTTATTTTATCTTTGCCATGATGACGGTAAATAATACTTGACTAGATATTCTTCAAGACACGTCTATACAGCTTAAAGACATGTAGGGCTTTATTTTGACGGTCCATGTGCAAAGTGTAAAGCGCAGGCAGGGTTCAACGCCAAGGATTTTTTCTAATGGCCCGATCGGACCAGTGGTTCAGATTTTTACTTGCCCTGCCAATATTTTCACTGTCCTTACCAAAAAAAATAAAAAATAAAGTGAATAGCTATTTCTTAGCCACAAATTTAAAAAAAAGAAAAATGTGTCAAAATGTTTGTAAATCAAGAATTAAAATATTTAAAAAAATGTTAATAAATGTATAATGAGCAAAATTCAAAGGGCTCTATTTTGACGGTCCATGCGCAGAGCGCAAAACGCAGGGCGCAAACGCTTTCAGGGCGTGTCAGAACGCGTTTTTGCTAATTTAAGGATGGGAAAATCCGCTTTGCGCCGTGGCGCATGATCTAAAAAGGTTGAGTTTATTTTCTTAATGAGCTATAGGTGTGTTTTGAGAATAAACCAATTAGAGTCTCATCTCCCATTCCCTTTAAGAGCCAGCTGCGTCGCGCCAAGAGCGCATTCGCTATTTACAGGACGCAAAGTAAGAAAAAGAAAAAATGAGCATTTCACTAGCAAACAGTTAACAGTTTTTAACAGAAAACTGTTAAACAGAGCATCTACTGCGTGAGAATGAGAGATAATCGATCTACTTTCACATTCGCTCTTGGATAGGGAAACCTTTACGTACAGACATCAATTAGCCTATAAATAATTAATTTCATTTGTTAAGCGCAAATATTCATTTCAAAACTATTTCTAAATTCAGTTCTAATTTCCATTAAACTAATAAATGAACAACAATAACAAAATGTGCACGTGTAGTGAAGAGCGATGTTGTCGCGCACGTTCTGATCAGCTGTGTTGTCGCGTGTGTACTGTAAAGCGAGGAAGGGGGGGGGGGTTGAGCGTGCGTACTCAAGACCGCTGTTATTGCGCGCCTAATGAAGGGCGGGACGGAGGGTGTGTCGCGTCGCGGGGGCACCTTTGATAACTTTGGAAGGGCACTTTCTATCCATGACTAAAAAGGGCATGTGCACTTCACAGGTTGAGCCATATGTGTGCATGTGCCTGGTTCACGCACACACAGCGCAGACACGCAGACACACACACACACATAGCACAAACACGTAGCGCAGACACACACGCACATACATAGCGTAGACAGTCAGACACACAGACACACACATACATAGCGCAGACACACACACACACACACACACACAGACAGTGAGAGAGACACAAGGCTGTACTTCATTACACACGTGCACACGTTTTAAAAACATGTTAAACTTGTAAAACTCACTCTTGATCACGTCTGTTGATGATTGATGATCCTAGCAAACTGAACAGACCTTTTATTCCCGTTTGCTTTGCGCTCGTCCTGTCTTGTCGATATGAGTATATGCATTACTATGGAGACATGTTAATGCGCGCAGCTGTCAATCAATATTGGTGGGCGGGGGGACCGCGCTTCTACGTAAAGTTGCGGTCGATCTGAAAACCGCTCCAGTTGGTCCACCGTTTTTATGTTGTTAAATTTTGAAAAAAAAAAAGGACTGGGGTGTGTTTATTTCACCCTAATATGACAGTATATACACTATACTTACACACATGTCTGTCCAAACAGCTTGAAAAGTAGATTTTTCACCATAGGTGCCCTTTAAAAAAAATGCGTGAAGCACGTTGTCCAGAAAAGCGATACATAAATGTATGAATATATTAAAAATTATTATAAAATAAGGATCTTTGGGGGAAACTTTAAATAAAATGTCCAGCACAGAATCCCAAAATCTTTGCACTCCTGGACATTCCCACATCATATGTAAAAAGGTATCAGGATGCTCTGGTAAGCGGATGCATTGTTTTACAGATTACGTTTGCAGTTTCTGTGAAGTTCTGAGGGTTTGAGCCTGCTCATGTGGTGGATTGTCAAAGAAACGTCACCTGTGTGATTGTGTGCAATGCTGGCTGCCTTCCTGAACCGGTATCCATGTGGACTGAGATGAAATATGGCCTTGCTGTGGTACGGAAACACTCTGAACCTGAGGTTCACCAGGTGGCAGAGGTCAAACACTGCCTGGATATACGGGTTGGTTCCACTGCAATGAGATCAGAATGGTATTACTGATTTTACAAATAATCACGCAAATAATATTGTCTTCTTTTAGGAATTAAAATGTTAAAATGAAGTGAGTTTTTCCTTAAAACAATTTTTTTTTTATTTAACAACATACTTTACATGGCAATTTGCACATTACAGCTGCACATATACTGTTGTATATAGTAATACACCTGTACTTACACTTGTCAATTTGTAAAAATGCATTCACTGCTTACTTATATTTTTGCAATATATTTATTATGTTTTTTCAAGAGTTTACACTTAGCTGATGATCCATCAAGGGATCCTCGAGCCTGGGGCTTCCCCCCGTTCGCACAGCTAGAGGGGAGCCTGAGCTCGGTGGATCTCAGAACTCCACGGCTGCAGTAGCTAAGTGAACACATGAGAAGGGGGGCTAAACAAGGGCTTGATTGTTATGCATGATGTATAACTTTAGACGGTGGGAGGAAACCGAAGAACCCGGGGAAAACCCATGAGGACACGGGGAATATATACAAACTCCTCACAGAAACGCCTACCGGCCAGGCGGATCCAGGGGCGATAGTATTCTTGCTGTGGGGCTCACAGTGCTAACCACTGGGCCGCCATGCCGCCCGATCAATGGTAAAGGAGGAGAATTGGGGAGGAAGGGGGGTTTCTTCCAAACAAAGATTAAGTGGACTGAAAACTGTGGTTCTTTATAGTAGCTTAGGGCTCATATGATTGGAAGATAATGATTAGGTATAACTAGACCGGCCGTGATAAATCATAAGCACGTGATCCTCTCGAAATTAGTTTATAAACAAACTTCACTTGTTCTGTCTCTGTAATTCTGTTGCACTGTAGAAGCTCTGTCATGAAAACGAATTCCGCATGTTTGAACATACCTGGTATTAAATCCTGATTCTGATTAAAACAAGCTAAATAATCTGCTATTGTGATAAGCAAAATAATCTTGTTTTTCCTTTTAACATTAAATTATTTCACTAACCCCATTGGCCAATTATTGTGCTTGTTTAAAGGAAACACTCGCTTCATTTTGGCATTTACTTCTGAAAACAAAACAAGATTGTTTGCTTGTCTAGAAAATGCTTCATGATTTAAGAACTTTTAGATATTTGAACTAGAAACAAGACAAAAAGAAACACTTTTTTTTGCAGCATAAGTGACTAAAGGAAGCGTGACTGAAAACTGACCTGTCTGTCTGACAGTTGCTGTTACAGCTGAATGCACATTTCATGATGCTGTCCAGCGTCATGAGACTTACATGCTTAAACAGCTCAAAGGACTCTTCTGATCTGGAGTGAACTTCCCATTTATCCTAGAAGACAACAACAATCACAATGCATTCATCGAAAGGTCCTGTGATGATGTTCCCAAGTTTATTAACAATATAACATTTCTGTTTAAATTAAAACAATGTATAATTCAATGTTTTATTCTATATTCTGTGTATTATTATTAGGACCTCACATTTCGGAACACTACACTCACCGGCCACTTTATTAGGTACACCTGTCCAACTGCTTGTTAACGCTAATTTCTAATCAGCCAATCACATGGCAGCAACTCAATGCATTTAGGCATGTAGAGATGATCAAGACGATCTGCTGCAGTTCAAACTGAGCTTCAGAATGGAGAAGAAAGGGGATTTAAGTCACTTTGAACATGGTTGTTGGTGTCAGACGGGCTGGTCTGAGTATTTCAGAAACTGCTGATCTACTGGGATTTTTATGCACAACCATCTCTTGGGTTTACAGAGAATGGTCTAAAAAAGAGACAATATCCAGTGAGCGGCAGTTCTGTGGGCACAAATGCCTTGTTGATGCCAGGGGTCAGAGGAGAATGGCCAGACTGGTTCCAGCGGATAGAAAGGCAACAGTAACTCAAATAAGTACTCGTTACAACCGAGGTCTGCAGAAGAGCATCTCTGAACACACAACATGTCCAACCTTGAGGCGGATGGTCTACAGCAGCAGAAGACCACACCGGGTGCCGCTCCTGTCAGCTAAGAACAGGACACTGAGGCTACAATTCACACAGGCTCACCAAAACTGGACAATAGAAGATTGGAGAAACGTTGCCTGCTCTGACCAGTCTCCATTTCTGCTGCCACATTTGGATGGAGGATATTTTCTTGGCACACTTTGAGGCCATCAGTACCAATTGAGCATCGTGTCAACACCACAGCCTACCTGAGTGTTGCTGCTGACCATGTTCATCCCTTTATGACCACAGTGTCTCCATCTTCTGATGGCTACTTCCAGCAGGATAATGCACCATGACATAAAGCACAAATCATCTCAGACTGGTTTCTTGAACATGACAATGAGTTCACTGAACTCAAATGGGCTCCACAGTCACCAGATCCACAGTCATCACCTTTGGGATGTGGTGGAATGGGAGATTCACATCATTGATGTACAGCCGACAAATCTCCACCAACCATGCAATCATGTCAATATGGACAAATATGTCTGAGGAATATTTCCAGTACCTTGTTGAATCTAAGAATTAAGGCCGTTCTGAAGGCAAAAGTGGGTCCTACCCGGTGCTGGTAAGATGTACCTAATAAAGTGGCCGGTGAGTGTAGTTTTTGTGAATGAGCATTAGCACATCTGACATCTTTCGCGCTTTGAATTAGCATGATAATAGTCTTCAGATTTTTTATTTATTCGTTTTGTCTTTTGAACAGTTTTTGCTACTAGTGTTACTCCGTTCATTATTATATAAGTTTTTAAAAAAGACACAGATGAGTGTAAAATCCTGGTGATTAGATGTATAAGTTCTAGAGATGTCACATTTGTAGTCATTCATTCCTGTCTGTTTGATCAATAGTCTATATGTTTATTATTGTTAGATATCTTTCATATTTTCAGCCAAAACCACAGCCTAGTTTTAGCCTCTAATAAACCTCTAATAAACAAACCAAAAAGGGCATGCTGGCACTTTATAATGTTAGTTAAGTTGCTCAAACAAACTGAGCAGTTATATAATTATAGCACAGGCACAGTGTTTACAATTTAAGCCAATCCTATGATCATTTTACCAAACACCACGACTAGCCTATGTTAAACTGATTGCGCCAAAATCAGGCAGATGTTGTCTGAAGCCAGAGGTTCTGTGTGCTCATACACTGTAGAGTCTGACATAACAAACACTTTAACAATGGTGAGTAAGCATAATGATAATATTTTCATTTGACGTACAAGCATGACTTTAGTTGAATCAGAAATAAGTTTCACGTAAGGCTTCAAAACGTCATAATGGAAACCAGGAGTGAGCAGTCGTCTATGCCGGAACCATTTCTGTCCAGTGGACACCAGTAAGCCATCGCCTGAGGAGACAGTCAAAACATTTCTTCAACCACAGATACTTTTAGTCTTATATTATTGTTATTGAAACTACATCCTTTCTAATAAAGCTTTAGTTTTAATGAACATCTGGATATACCTCGGCATTACTGAATAAAGATAGTTCAGTATATAGAAAAATAATACCCTGAGCCTAAGACACCATTGTTTCTTTATTCTCATGTAAATCCCATGTAAAAAAAAAGGCCAAGCAAAACAAAACACAGTTACATTGCACATAAGCTCATTAATATGCATGCCATATTGTTTGGGAACAATGTTTTTTACTGATATTGCAACAATACCCCCCCCCCCCCCCCCTTCCATTTTTTTAGTTTTTTAAGCTTGTATTAAACATATTGGGCCCTATCATACACCCGGCGCAGTGTGGCGCAAGGCGTGACGCAGTAGTCTTTTGGTAGTTTCAGCTTGGCGCAAGAGTCGTTTTGAGGCGTTGCGCTACGCTGTTTAAATAGCAAATGCATTAGCGCTCATATGTGCGCCCATAGGCGTTCTGGTCTAAAAAGGGAGGCGTTCTGAGGGGGACCGCTGGCGCGTTGCTATTTTGAGAAACTATAATAGATTTTTCATTAGACCAAAACTAACCTGGTCTAAACTCCGGCGCAGAGTTGCGCCTTAATTACGCACTGCTTAATACACACAAGAGAGCAATAGGCAAATATCTTTACATATGAAAAAAATTAAATATTAAGGATATATATAGGATATAATAAGAATAGATATAGGATATAAATATAAAGGATTAAAATATTACAAAACATATTATTTAAACATATTACACTTACATGCCTGTGTTTTTATTTCTGAAATAAATACGGCGTTTCATGATTAATCATGATTAATTACCAAAAAAAAGTGTGATCAATTACTTAATCACAAATTAAATAAACTTGCCTTGCCTTTATATCACATTTTACCTGTTTTTATGTTTTGTTTTGTTTTGTTTTTACGCATTTTTATTATTTGTTTTCATTTTTATTTTACTTGTTTCTTTTATTCATGTTTATGTAAAGCACTTTGAATTGCCATTGTGTATGAAATGTGCTATATAAATAAACTTGCCTTGCCTTGCCTTGCCTTGCCTAATGTTTTTAATCAATTGACAACCCTAATTTCTAAATGTATTGTTTTAAAACTATTCAATAATTATGAATATAGAGTGATATGAAACATGAAATCATGATCATCTTTCTTGCAATATCACCCAGCCCTAAAATGAATCCAATTCTGAAGATTTTTTCCACTTACGTAAGCCACATAACTAATATGTAGACATCAGAGAGCAATTTACCATATTGAAATCCCTTTAATTCTAAAGCTCTGCAGAAGCAATAGTTGAAGAAACACCCAATAATAAACCCAGAATGAATGTAATCATTAAAACAATGGTGAAAAAAACAACTCACCTAACCATGGGATGAAAAACTTGTATGCGTAGTCATCTTTGGGTTCTGCCAATAACACAAAATGAAGTCATTTTTATAATGCTTGTTGCAATCACTGGTGTTTTTGAAAGAGTTATAAGTCACCTGTGGTTGTGAGAATGGTCTTCACATATGACGGATGGTGGATGTTCAAAACAGCCAACGACGGGCCAAACCATAGAGGGAAGGCAAACTGATACAGTTCCATCCACTTGACGATCTTCTCTAAATCATGTCCATCCTGGCGGAACTGCAAATAATTCAGAAAGGCAAGAAAATGATTGACGTGCTTCCAACATAAACGGCGCTCTAATGTTATTCATCTCACATGAAATCCTCCAGTAGCAGCTGAAGAATGTGAGTGCAATGCAAGGCTGTTCTGTTCACTGGCATACAATATAATTATGTCATTGAACAGCGGATAGCTGAGGTGAATAGACACAGACAGCTCAGAGACAATAATCAGATTGATTCCCTCCAGTGAGGAGGTCAAATACAGGGAACATTTATTCATCCATTGCATAGTACTCCTGAATTATTTAATATATAAACACGTGATAAACTGTGTACAGAAAATGTTGGCTAGTGTTTCTATGAAGTTCTCTTGCATGAGCAACCACTCTTCAGGAACATGAACAGAAAAGAGTTCATATATAATGTTGGTGGAATTCATTCATTTTCCAGGCTTAGTCTCTTCTTTTTCAGGGGTCACCACAGCAGAATGAACCGCCAACAATTCTGGCATACGATTTACATGGCGGATGCCCTTTCAGCTGCAATACAGTACAGTAACACCCATACACTCTCATATTCACACACACACTCATAGCATCCGGAGGAAACCCACGCCAACACATGGAGAACATGCAAACTCCACACTGAAATGTCAACTGGCCCAGCCAGAACTCGAACCAGCGACTTTCTTGCTTTGAGGCGACAGTGCTGAATATAATATCGGAATATATGGCAGCAGAGTGGGTAGCACAGCCACCTCACAGGAAGAAGGTTGCTGGTTCGAGCCCTGGCTGAGTTGGCATTTCTGTGTGGAGTCTGCATGTTCTCCATGTGTTGGCGTGGGTTTCCTCCAGGTGCTCCGGTTTCCCCCACAGTCCAAAGACATGCGCTTTAGGGGAATTGTGGTATATGCGGTAAGCTAAATCGTCTGTAGTGTTTGTGTGTGAATGAGTGTGTATGGATGTTTCCCAGTGATGGGTTGCAGCTGGAAGGGCATTTGCTGCGTAAAACATATGCTGGATAAGTTGCCGGTTCATTCCACTGTGGCGACCCCAAATTAATGAAGGGACTAAGCCGAAAAGAAAATGAATGAATGAATATATATATATATATATATATATATATATATATATATATATATATATATAGAATATACATAGTTCATGGAATGTTTTAGTTGGACATTAAACATTAACATTATTACAATAACAATGTAAAAAATACAAATTATTGATCAATTTCAGCATTATGAATCTGAGATTTGCAGTATATTTTGAAACATAAATTCAGAAAGAATGTATATTGACAGTATATTAAAAATATCTGTTTATATATTTCCAAAACAACATAATAGGGATCAGAAAATGATCAATTTCTGTGTTTCTGTGTGGAGTTTGCATGTTCTCCCTGCCTTCGTGTGGGTTTCCTCCGGGTGCTCTGGTTTCCCCCACAGTCCAAAGACATGCGGTACAGGTGAATTGGGTTGGCTAAATTGTGTGAATGTGTGTGTGGATGTTTCCCAGAGATGGGTTGCGGCTGGAAGGGCATCCGCTGCGTAAAAACTTGCTGGATAAGATGGCGGTTCATTTCGCTGTGGCGACCCCGGATTAATAAAGGGACTAAGCCGACAAGAAAATGAATGAAAGTATATATATATATATATATATATATTTTTTTTTTTTTTTTTTTTTTTTTTTTTTTTTTTTTTTTTTGTGGGTGCGCTATCTTTTTAGTGATCCTTTAAGCTGTTAAATATCACCATTTTTTTAAATATACAAGTATACATTCGTTCAGTGAAAACTTGTGACACGCTCCCTAAATTGTTTGACTTTGACTATTCGGTCTGAAAACGCATACAAATATTCCTACTTGAATACAACATTAGCACTATTTAACTGTGAACAACACTTTGATAGCCATTGGCTGCTTATATAATTTCCTAATTTAGAATTTGCAATGCTTTTCTTAAATAGTTATATTATTAAGGAGAAAGTCCGTATGTGTGAATATAAAACCAACTTTACCTCAATTGCTTCCCCCCTAAAATTAATTTAAGTGCCGTTAGCGCCATTTTACTGTTGTTATGTAACTGTAGTTATGTGTTTACCTCCTTAACGTGTCCAAAGAGCCAGTGTGCAGGAGGTCCAGGGAAACGCTCCATAGTTTTCACCCCCTTTCTCCTCACAATCAGTAACTTCACCACTGTCAGCAAACACGCCAGAAAGATGAGCGCAAAAACATGATTGACGGAGAGCACAAACGGAGAAATCCCGTAGAGCAGCATGTCGAGAAGCGTCTGGTGCTGCTGTCATTGACCTCAGTGTGGGATTCAGAGCAGGAGACGGGAGAGAGAGAGAGAGAGAGAGAGAGAGAGAGAGAGAGAGAGAGAGAGAGAGAGAGAGAAAGAGAGAGAGAGAGAGAGAGAGAGAGAGAAAGAGAGAGAGAGAGAGCCTTTCTTTACAATCAGTAAACCTTTTCTTCATTGAGATTCATGAGAGCTATCGGATAGTAGCTGATTAAAAAACTTAAGGCAAGACAAGTGAATTTCCCGGTTAATTTCTGAAAGTTTTATGAGTTTTTATGAATGTTTAAGCTGGCGAATAAGTGATTGTAAACCTTAAAAGTCTATGTGTAAACTTGACTATACTTATTGCACAAAAATATGAAAATTCACTCTAAAAAGTCCAGGGTTATTTTTTCTCCCCAAATGTTGGGTTGAGGCATGTGGGTAATACTTTCCGAGTCTTAAGTAGTGCTATGTAACTCAAACCTGTGTTATTTTCTGGGTAATTTTTGCGAAGAGTTTAATCAATGCAACCCTAGAACCACACAGACACATCAACCCAGCTCCTTGGGTCAAATTAACTCACAGCAGGTGCTGACTGGAATGCCATATATTTGATACTAGCTAGCTAGCTACCTACCATCCGCCCGTCTATCTATCTATCTATCTATCTATCTATCTATCTATCTATCTATCTATCTATCTATCTATCTATCTATCTATCTATCTATCTATCTATCTATCTATCTATCTATCTATCTATCTATCTATCTATCTATCTATCTATCTATCTGTCTGTCTGTGTTTGTGTGTTAAATAGTGTTTTCACTGTATTTAAAAAATGAGTAATTTTGTTTATCGTTTGGTCAATGATTTTAAAAGAAAACTAAAAATTATATTTGAAAATATAACCTATTTATTAAATCAAATTAACCTGTTATTAAAGTAAAAATAACCAATCATTGGGTAAGAAAAATCAACCTATTTGTTGGGTTAAAATACAGTTTTTCCCAGTTCTCACAACACTAGTGCATTTTTGCACAACATTTAATGCATTTCTTAAAACAATTAGTACAAACTGCAAAACCTAGCTGATAACCTGCAAAAGCGCATCACATGCTTAAAATGGAGAGCTCATTCCTCAAAAGCAAGTATTCATGTCAATCAAAGTGTCAGTATCGTCAAAATGAAAAGTCCTGACACCATTGTTTATGAACAAGATAGTCAAATGGCTTTGTCATGTTTTTATTATGACTGTATACTCTACATTTTTTCAATGCAAAAAAAGTCAGATTTTGGTAACTCTTTCTAAAAATGCTCAAGACATCACTATATACTATTTGCACAGCCATTTAAAGACTACAGTAAAGTGAGACATCACTGCATTTAGTGAGGTATCCGAGTACAAGACACTGAATATGTATGTTTCACATGTTTACTGCATTTGCTCTTTGCAATCCTAATTTATTCCCAGCATCGTGCAAAAGAATAAACACACCCTTATTTACAACAAACATAAACTCCCTTTAGGTAGAGCTGTGCACAACTGTACAGAATATTGCAGTGCATATCGGAACTGACCCTACAACACACACAGGTCTGTAAATCATTCATCAAATTGTTCAATTTTAAAGACATTTTCAGGAAAATAAAGTGAAGGATTCGGATTTCTGCTTTCCAATCCGTCTCATCATGGACCAACGTTTATCCTTTTCATCATCCTGTTTCTCAGTATTTAACTGTGAATTGATTTTAATTAATGAATAGGTTAAAACCGCTTACTGCAAGAATGTTCTGTGTCCTTGTTTCTCTTTTTGCCTGTCTATTTTAACTTTGTTTTCAGGAGACACACAAACCAGGTCATAGGTCATGGAGATCTCTCTCTCTCTCTCCCCATCTGTTACTATGACTGGAGGTCCAATACAGAGGAGAAGAATACACCTGTTCTAGTGTCCTGATATTGCCTATAAAATTATAGCTGTTTGATTGATCTGTTTTTGAGTATAATTAATTTTAATGTAATTCCTTTTTGTGTGGAGACTGTGTGTAGTAAAGATATTGCAGCAGACTGTTGATGGAAACACAGCTGAACGTACAAGAAACATCCTTGAGTCTTTAACACAGATGGTCTTTTGTGTCTATTGTGTTCCTGGTTTAGCTTTTCACAGGTCGGAGATCAGCTCCTAATAACTGAGGGCGACCTCACCTCTAGGCATCAGGTCGTCATCCATATCTGGAGACAGATACAAGGCTTTCTTTGATGCACACACTAAGACCATCCATATCTGGAAGTAGATACTATGTTCCTTTGACGCATGTATTTAGAATTGTCTATTTCTGTTGTAACCAATGAGAACTGTTTACCTGGATCCCACCTTTTCTGGACTTGTGTAAAGAGTATAATTGTTCTATTGTGGAAACTGTAAGTCAGAGCGGCCTTGGAACTCATTACGAGTGTTGAAGCTGGCTTCTGCGGATGAAACTGCAAACTATCTTCAGTAAACTTGATTTATTTATTTAAATCTCTCACTCCGGCTCTTCTTCATCCACTTGACTGGTAATTCTTTGGGTCAATCTGTAAACCATCCCTACAAAAGATTTAAATTTGTTAAAAAAAAAATTAGCTTGACAGATTTTGACAACTAGTTCGACATTTTTGTATGCAATGACTCAAGTAATGAAATGAGGACTATTAGTTTTATATGGAATGACTATTCAGCACTCACAAGTTTAGTTCATTTTGACTGACATGACATAAGCAGATGATAATGTTCTAAACAGGAGAGAGTTGTATGAAAGCAATTAATACCAAGTGTGCCGCAAGCCTGCGTTTGAGTGAAGGTTTCGGCCGTTAGATCGCCCCCTGGGGGCTGGCTGCAGTACAAGTCATAAAGCCCGCCTCCTCTGTGTTAATGAAGGAGACTTGAGCCCAAATAAAAAAAATTATTACACTTGCAATAAAATGTCCCGAAAGATGGTTCTGGTCGATTAAGGCACTGGTTATTGTGCTGAAATAGGTGCAGATCTTCATTTTTGTAAACAGTTTGTTTTTAGCAGTAATTTAATGCTGGGCGTGTCATCGTGATTGACAGCTGTGATTGACAGTTTCTCAAAGCACGGCGTCTGAGCTTCGGCAGGAGACTGAAGTGTTGTAATTCGATTTCTGTGTTATTTTACCATGACAAAAATGAGTTCAGCAGTAAACTATAGTTTCTGACATACATGATCCTGGTGGAACACTGTTTATTCGCTGAGGTCAGGACTTTTTTCGGGCTTTATTAGTTTGCTGATACACGCCTAGCCACCCAGATGACAAAATACACTCGGACCAGTTCGGCTAGATTCTCGCCTGCCGGAGACTTACCCCTCAGAGCTCAGACTGACTACCTCTGCTGGACCTACTCCGGATGCCTGGACTCACTGCCCGATTCCAGCCCGAGTCAATCGAGCCAGATGCGGCGGCCGAGCGAGCCGGCGCTGCCGCATGCGAGGCGGAATCAGCCCGCGACGCCGCGAGTAAGTTATGCGCTGCGGCCCGGAGCTAGCGCAATTGAATATATAAAACCCTCATATTTGTTAACGTTATTACATCCATTTGTGTTGATATGACAGCAAACGCATGCTGAGAAGTTCGGGGGGCGTGGTTGATTTTACATAAAGCGTTTGGTTGGAAGCTCGACTCCGCTCATTTTCGCGGCTCCTCCTCTGGCTCCATCAGACAGTCCTTCTGCGCATGTCAAGGCTCCAATTTCAGCAGTCTTTTGCGACAGTTTGTGCCCGTCAAGCAGGCGTTTTGCCCTCAAGGCGTTCAATGGGAAAAGGTGCTGTCGCGTCGTCCATATTTTTTACAGTCATTGATTAATACATGTCCAAAAGCATTTGCAATTTGTTGAAAAGAATGAGAAACTGCTACTAAGATGTGCCCAAACGACTAATTGTTTTGAGAAATGCATGACCTGTTGTGCAAATGTAGTGTAGTGAGAAATGCAACAAAGCGACTGAGAAAAACTGTAATAACCCAATTACTTGGGTTAATTGCTTCAGAGTGCTCTCGACCTCAGACTGGGGCGACCGTTCATCTTCCAGCAGGACAATAACCCAAAGCACACCGCCAAAATATCAATGGAGTGGCTTCACAACAACTATATGAATGTCCTCGAGTGGCCCAGCCAGAGCCCAGACCTAAATCCTATATTGAACATCTCTGCGAGATCTGAAAATGGCTGTACACCGTCACTTCCCATCCAACCTGATAGAGCTTGAGAGGTACTGCAAAGAGAAATGGGCAGTTGTGCCAAGCTTGTGGCATCATATTCAAAATAACTTGAGGCTGTAATTGCTGCCAAAGGTGCATCAACAAAAGCAAAGGCCACACAAATCTATCTTTTAAATTCCTATTTTTAAAAGGGAGCTATAATATTTGTGCACTGTAAAACCCAAAAGGTTAAGGAAACTCAAACCATTTGAGCACAGTAAAACCTGATAAATGAAGAGAACTCAAACTAACTGAGTACTGTAAAACTCAAGTTAAGATAACTCAAACCATTTGAGGAAACTGATCACTACAAACCATTTGAGTTAAACTAATCTACAGTATATGAGTACTGTGAACTTACTCCATTTAAGTTGAATTCATTCACTCATTACCTTCAACGCTGAGTTCAAAACTCTTTTCAAATGAGTAAAATTAACTTTCAATCAATTTTTTTAATAAAGTTGACTGTTGGGTTTTACAGTGTGCAGATATAAATATTTTTGCAATATTTTTTAAATTTAATTGTATTATCTTTCCATTTCTGAATATGTTTGGTGACTAAAATATTATTTTAATAAATAAATCAGTTTAATAAATCTGTTTTGTTTGAATGCACTAAAATACACTGCCTATATTCACTGAGAAATGGATACAAATATTCATACTCCAAATGGGCTGTACTCTATTATGCTGAGCACTGTACACATGCATGGATGTTTTTGAGAAAATACTTATTTATATTTAGATATAAAATATATGCGCG